TTGTAGTCCTTTTCAGCATTATATTTATTGCAAACCATTTCATTTAAAAGCATTTCAAAAGAAGATAAACCTATTTCATGAAAATAACTATATTTTAATGTATTCATGTATGTTTTTAGAAAAGTTTAAGTTGCTTCTTCAATGTATCTTGAAAACTTGGTTCATTTGATTCCTAACATCAATTCCTACTTTTACACTTATTATATCACCATATGATACCTCCAAGTATATGTATATCATACTTTGATAATCAAAATGTATTAGCATGATAGATTGGAGTATATTTAGTGTCTTGAATTCCAAAAAAAAATGGCAAAAAATTCCATCTTGTTATTCCAACAACCTTATAAATGTTTATAAAACTTATGCATACAATTCTTGCATGTGAGTCAGTAAAAAATAGAAAAAGTCAATGACTCATGTTAATAAATTATGTCATAAAAGTCATAAAAATGAAAAAAATATATTTGACTTTAGTTTGGACTTTTTTGAAATATAATGAAAAAATAATATTATTGTCATCTTACATGAGTCGTGGATTGCTAGAGCTAGGTGTTATTAAACCTCCAAGTGTTGAATCATCTTCATCAAGCTCAATTCATCATGATATTGGTTGGAAATAAAGTGCAATATATGGCAGACCCATATAAAGTATGTTACTGATCATAGTTCATGATATCCACACTTAAATTACACTACCTTATTGTTCATATCGTCTGCTTGCTAGAAGAAAAATATTAGAGTAGGAAGTGATGTGCACTTGTCGTTGTGTTTAAATGCATATTATCTAATAATATTTATAACTAAAACTTAATTAAATATTAGTATAGAAGTAAGTATCAAGTCGAATATAAGGAGATTGATTAATCTGTCATGAAAACTAATGTAGTTTTTATATAAAGTAATTTTAATATTTTATTAATATTTAATAAAAATAAAAATAAAAAAGTGTGAGGTGAGAAGAATAAAAGAAGAGAAGTGGAGAAAAGGAGGAAAAGAGAGAGGGAGATCAATTAGGGAGAGAAAGAGAAAGAGATTGATCAAGATAAAGGGAGAGAAAGGGAGAGATCTCACAAGAAACAAAGAGAGAAGAAGCAATCTCACGAGAGAGGGAGAAAGAGAAATAAGATGATAATAAAGAAAGAGAGAAATACAATCAACCCGTTTTCATGGTGACCATTATTCTCGGATGAATGTGTGCTCAAGAATTTACACACATGTCATGAGGTCAGTCGTAAATGTCTCCAATTTATTTTAATAGTTCAACAATTATCAAGCAGCCTTTAATCTCACTAATTTCACATTTGAAATCAGAAGGATAATCATTATTCGCGGAATGTCGAAAACATGAATATGTTGAGATTTCACTGCAAAAATCAATAGAAAACAAGTTAGAAACGATCTTAATTTTAGACGAATTTCGAAGGATTTAGAAGAAGAACGAAGATCATTTATCAAGTTTGAATTAGTTCTACTCATTTCAATCAAAACATGCATGAAATGGAAATAACTTACTATAAAATGTAAATAAATGACAAAAATATGTAAGTAAATGTTAAAAGTAGAAAATAAATCATTGCCCAAGCTTAGTCTGCCTCTTAGGCAACTAGAGACACTGGTGTGATGACTTGATTTCGTCTAAACATGTCACACTACGTCGGAAGTTGCAGAAGTATTGTTCAAAAGTGTTGCGTTGCTTGTTGAAGAGATCTACTGAAAGAGGGGTCGTCCATGTTATCACCGTCATCTGGGGGGAGAAGGAAAGGGCTAACCATTAATTTGAGGCCTTCAGTGCAGTCGAGGGAGGAAGGAATGAACTTACCAATCGTCAAAGGCATTGATCGTGCAAAAAGAGGAAGAAAACATATTACCATATTTGCTACTACTGTTGAGATTTTAAAGATAATCGATGATATCTAGTTTACCAGATAATAATCAATTATTGTCTCTATATCTTTGACAATGATACATGCGAGAGCTTAAGATCCTAGTATCGTGGTGCGTCGTGAGTCATTGGGTCAGATGTGCTTGGTCACATGGCACACTGAGCGACATAGGATCAACCCATCACAAATTGTTGCCAATCAAGAACCTAAGTTCTTAGTACTGTGACACCTCCTTAGCCATCTGATAAGTCTTCATTATCATGAGTTAATTAGTAAATAATACAGTTTTAGCTTTAACTCAGGATAAATAGACTTATATTTGAGTTAGTGTAAAAAGTGGTTTTCAGTTGATTAACGTGAATTTTTAGGTAATTATGTGATTTTATACGAATTTATATGACTTTTACAGTCTTACTCTTGAGATAAATGAAGAAAAAGAAATAAAAATAAAAATATAGCAAAATGGGGGGACCCGCCAACTAGTCAGGCCTGCAAGCGGGTCGAAACTACAGTCGAGTAGGAGCTGCGAGCAAGGGCTCGAGCGGCAAGGACTGATAGGGGCACGTGTGCACCACTCCCTTTCCACGTCACTGGTGGCTAGCTAGTTGTGGGGCAATGAGTGGTCGTACACGCGGGGAGAAAGGGACTTACTTGCAAATGAAATATTACTATATATTCACCCGAAACTTCAACGCACAAATAATGTGGGACTAAACCCATGTCACATCTCCCCCAGAAAGGCTTTGATGATCTTAATACCTAAAATATCCCTTATTTATAATAGAGATATATCATGATCATGTCATTTGATAAAAGCATTAGAGTACTTATGTCAATCTCTCTCATACAAACGGGCAACCGGCACAAATTTGAATCTTCTCAAAGCCAAAACTCATATTTTTATCTGATTATCGTGACTTTCCTATAGATTGTCGATAAAGGATTAAGCTGTCAGAATTGTTGGATCATCGATGGAAATCTCGTCAACGCAATTCGCGAAATATTGTTACTAAAATTGTTGAACGATTCGTAATAAAAGGATCGCGAATCCATCAAGCAAAGCATCCCTAATTGATCGACGAATAAACTATCATCGGGAAGAGGACGATCCACCGAGAGACGAGTCGCCACCTCCTGAGAGCATACCGGATGCGATGAAGAGCCTCTTCTTGCTACGCGGACCTGAGGATGAAGCACCCTAACACGCACCCCACCTCCATCTAGCTCCTCTCTATGGGGTGGCAGTCGCCGGAGAGCAACAAAGTCGCCGTTTTTCTGCTCCGCCGAGTGACAGTCGTCGGAAACGATTTGACGACCCATTTCATTGATCTCTAGACTTTGCAAAGAGATCTAGAGATTGCCCACGTCGTCCTTGTCCAAGGAAAGCCTTTGAGGCTGTGTACACTACACGACGATCCTCCTGAACGCTCAAGATTCCGATGCATCGCCGATACATCACTGCTGCGACGTCAAAACTTTGTTTTCCTACTTTCAACTTACTTTCCATTTCATTTAGTGATAATTTGTGTGATTTAAATTTACTAAGATATACTTCATTTAATTACAATTCTTTCGACTTTTACAGATCTTAATTTGATCAATTAAATCGTCTGTAATCACTTACGTAAGAATTGTCAGGCGGAACTCTATTTCCGCCTGATTCGCGTTCGCCAGGCGCTAACATCATCCTAACATCAGTACCCTTATTTTCCTTTTTTTAATTTTAAATATATTTCATTTTCATTTCTTAGTGTAAAATTTATAGAAAATAGTATTCTTTGAGAAAAATTCTGAATAATTACCTAATATTATATTACATCCTTGTGATCGACTTGAAAAATTACCACTATTTTTGAAAGTTTTATTAAATTATAATTGATATATTTGTTCAGAAATACTTTTAAATATCTAAAAATTCATATTTTCTAGTTTATAAATTTTAAATTTACGTGATTTACTATATAACGACTAAGTCACGCTATCGTCAGATCATCATTTAAGGTCATGTGCATGTTGAACAGTGTCAAATTCGTGAACCACCAATCGATTACTTTATGCATCTAGTATTGTGAGTGTTCATCAGCCACAAGATCTGGCTAATCTAATGACGTGGTTCGCTAGCTACTACTAGATCACTCCGCACTCTAGATGGCTGCACTGAAATGAACGAAAATGATTAGTCACACATCAAAAGTTTTTCATCATTTAAGCTGAATATAAATCAAAGTTACTCTCTCTCAATAGTAATTCTTTCTCTTGAAATAAAATAATACCCAAGACCATCTTTGGAGAAGGTAAAAAGACCACCCTCACGCGTGCACACGTGTATGATGCTCCTTGCTCCACAATGGCCATGGCCACTAGGACGTGGCAAGGGAGTACACACATGTGCATGGAGTGAGTGCCGATTTGCCAGCAAGTAGAATATTTTTATATTTTATTCTTTTATATTTTTAAATAAATAAAAATTATACTAAATATTTTAACTTCAAACTTCTAAAATTAACAATATATTCTATATTTATTGTGTATGTTAATAAAATAATTAAAATAATTAAAATAATTAAAACACAAAAAATTAGCTTTAATATGGTCACCACATCACAATGGGAGAGGTTAATCTTACGAGGGTATATGAGCTACCCTCCAATGTTTATAAAATGGGTGACCCTCAACTTCATGACTATTTGACACTTAAAATCAATATTATTATTATTATTATTATTATTATTATTATTACTTTTATTTAAATATTTTCGAATTTTTTTACTCTTTAAATGACTGATTAAATAAACTTAACGCACATGGTTCGATGGACAGGGAGAAGAAGAAGACGGCACCGCCATGCCGAGTTGGCGACAATGACCTTCACTTCCGTCGGCATGTATGTAAAGATATACGTTCCGCGGGTCCCTAGAAATACAAGAGAGCGGTCCGCGTTGGCTGCGAGACGCCGTAGGTGAATTGAGCTACCTTCTCTTCTGCAGAAGCTCATCCTTACATGCCACCGGTGGATTTGTAGGCCTTCAAATCCATATATAATTAAGCTCGGGGGAGAAATGAGGATGTGTCACACCTACCGACCATCTTCCTCCTCCCCCCGTCGTCGCCACCATGGCGGGCATCTCCCAGCTGATATCCACAGCCCTCTCCTCCCCGGCCTCCCCTGCGTGCCCCTTCCAGAGAGGCCGGCGTAGTCAGGCCTCAGCCCCCCGCAGGCCCAGAGCCGCTCGGCCGGCGGTGATCTCCTGCGAGAGCAGGCCGCCGGAGCGGGTCGACCGGCGGGAAGTCCTGCTGGGACTTGGCGGGATGTGCGCCGCCGGCGGCCTGGGGATCGGCCGGGACGCCCTGGCGCTGCCCATCCAGGCCCCGGATCTGTCCAAGTGCCAGCCGACGGGGACCAACTCCGGCACCAACTGCTGCCCCCCGTACGACGCCACCATTGTGGACTACAAGTTCACCCCGACGGGGCCGCCGAGGGTGCGGCCAGCGGCGCACACGGTGGACGAGGCGTACCTGGCCAAGTACAAGAAGGCGGTGAAGCTGATGAGGGAGCTGCCGCCGGACGACCCGCGGAGCTTCGCCCAGCAGGCCAACGTGCACTGCGCCTACTGCGACGGCGCCTACGACCAGGTGGGGTTCCCCGGTCTGGAGCTGCAGGTCCACAACTCATGGCTCTTTTTCCCCTTCCACCGCTTCTACCTCCACTTCCACGAGAGAATCCTCGGCAAGCTCATCGGCGACGAGAGCTTCGCCCTGCCTTTCTGGAACTGGGACGCCCCCGCCGGCATGACCCTACCGAAGATCTACACAGACCCCCGTTCCTCGCTCTACGACCCGCTCCGAGACGCCGCCCACCAGCCGCCGGCGCTGGTTGACTTCGATCTCGGCGACGCCGCCCCCACCGCGCAGCGGCAGATCGACCTCAACCTTTCCATCATGTACAGGCAGATGATCTCCAGCGCGAGGACCACCAAGCTGTTCATGGGGCAGCCCTACCGCGCCGGCGGCAATCGCAACCCAGGGAGCGGATCCCTAGAGACCTCGCCCCACGGCCCCGTGCACGTCTGGGTGGGCGACCCCAAGCAGCCCAACGGAGAGAACATGGGCATCTTCTACTCCGCCGCCAGGGACCCCATCTTCTACGCCCACCACGCCAACGTCGACCGGATGTGGCACCTGTGGAAGAAGCTGGACCCCAGGAACGTCGACTTCACCGATGGAGACTGGCTGGAGAGCTCCTTCCTCTTCTACGACGAGGCCGCCCGGCTGGTGAGGGTGAAGGTGAAGGACTGCCTCGAACCTGAGATGCTAGGCTTCACCTACCAGAACGTGGAGGTCCCATGGCTCAGGAACCGCGCCACGCCCCGCTCCGCCCCCTCAGCGGCGTCGTCTTCCACCTCCTCCTCGTCGAAGAATCAGAGGAGGGCGAAGCTGCTGAAATCCGCAAGGGAGACGGCCTCTTTCCCGCTGACGCTGTCGTCGGCGGCGAGCGTCAGTGTGAAGCGGCCCAAGGTCTCCCGGAGCCCCGCCGACAAGGACAAGGAGGAGGAGATCCTCGTGGTGGAGGGGATCGAGTTCAATGGCGAAGTCTGCGTGAAGTTTGACGTCTACGTCGACGAGACCGACACCGCCGACGTCAAGCCCGACGACAGCGAGTTTGCCGGCAGCTTCGTCAACGTGCCTCACCGGAAAGGCCACAACACGAAGATGGCGGCGGTGAAGACGACCCTGCGGCTGGGGATCAGCGACCTGCTGGAGGACCTGAAGCTCGAGGACGAGGAGGAGCTCCTCGTCACCCTCGTCCCCAGGAAGGGTAAGGGGAAGTTCAACATTGGAGGGGTCCGCATAGAGCTCTCCTCCTGAGCCTATCGGTGCCTCTCGCATACACATTTCCTTTCGATGATAAAAAACTCCTGCGATAGAATTGATCAATGTTGCTTTATTCTGGGCTCGATGACTGCCGAATAATTTCTTTAAATCTTCGATCCATTTTTATATATGCTTGCGTGCCATAGATCTCTTTTTCAGTTCTCTTTTTCAAACCCACCCACACAAAGATCAGATTCAGACCAAAAATCACGCTTGGTTGTATGGTTTTTTCTCTCTGTGGGTATGACTTCAGGAGATTATAATACGTCTTTAAATGGGTGCATATGCTTGAAACTGACAAAGTTTTTTCTCTTTTATAATCTTAACTATGAAGAAATATGCGGCTACCCTCTACTCCCATTCTACGGTAGAAACATTTATTGACGTCGCCTAGTATGAATCGGGTGAGTTCGACTAACTCACGCTAGGAAGAAATATGTGACCACCCATCTACTCACATTACGTGTCTGACTAACGAATTGACCATTCTTTGTGTGACAATGCTTGCCGGTCGTACTCTACTCACTTTGCACTATTCTTTGAGCTATTTCATACTGAAATTTAAGGTCTAGGGTTTAAGACGTTTGACTTTAGTTGTTAAAAAAACATAATTTCTGTGTAAATCACATTTCCTCTTTTTGTAATATAAGTGGTTGGAAGCCAAACTTCCATGCATGGATTGACTGCTGGATACGATTTCGACGGACAGGTCACCCATCTCGATGGGATCAAAGCTATTCCTGAGTCCTCACATTTCTTTGACAAAGACGTGTCGGCGGGCAGCGTAGGTCAACCACGCGTCTTTGAGTGGGACAATCGGGCCCACCGTAAGATCCCAGTGGCAAGGTCCTAGAGAAGGTTGAAACTTTTCTCGAGGACCCGCCATACGTATGAGGGAGATGCATAAACGTTAAGGGGCTGCCACGCGAGGGTTTCCCGTCCCATTTCCCGAAGGATAAGCCGCCGAGTAAATGGGATGATTCAACACGGCGGATTACTTAGATCCCCAACCGGTACATGGAAATGGCGATTCGGTTATAGCAACGGACGGCGAGAATGGGATATTTGACTTGGGTTTTTCGCACTAGGCAGAGAGGACGACATCGACGAGTTTCAACCGATGAAATGGTCAGCAAGAAAAGCCCTGCATGCAAACGTTTGTCCACTTTGGCGGGGAAGAGAGAAAAGGGGCATCTCTCTCTCTCTCTCTCTCTCTCTCTCTCTCTCTCTCTCTCTCTCTCCCCCCCCCTCCTCCCTCCCTCTCTCGTTGATGCTTTTCTCTTGGATGAGGCTGGGCTTGATCAGAAAATGGAACTTGAGCTTTGGGGCTGTTGAGGGGCTTATGCTTATGCAAGGCTTGATTAAATCATGGGCTCAGCAGGCTCATTAAAATCACCAAGCTCTCAAGACCAATTTTATAGACATTCACTATGACTATGTAAGCTTCTAATGTTAAGTTTTTATCCATCTAAAAGCATCCAGGCTAATAAGAGTCAAGTGTGAACTAGGAATGAGCTTCTTCAATCCAAGTGAAGATGCCTATCATAGATATTCAAAGGATGTGAACTGGTATGCTATCCAACCCACAAAAGCCGCACGTTGTGGCATTAGATGGGCATTTGGCTGCTGGATCACCCTATAAGAACCCTTGAGAACAATTTTTCGTAATCCCTTTTATTCTTCTACTTTCATTGTTAGGGAAAGCTCAATCATCGTGTAATATGTTGCAAGTGTCGATTAGCTAGTAAAATGTCATGTATTGACTTATTTGAGGGGTCAACTTGAGTAGATCATCGTGGTAAAGGAAAAGGTGTGTAGAGCCCTTATCATGATGTTAGGGATAATTTAGATGATCCTCTGGTTGATTTTCTGCCTCCATATATTCAAAAACTTACCCATCTTCCCCTCAAAAAACTTCCCTAATATGTTGGTGATCATCTCGCCAACAAACAAGTGTAACAATGCCATATTATCCTCTCACAGCTCTAACTTATTTTCTCTTTTACAACTCCTCTCCCCCTTCCTTTACATTCCCAAGTCCTAAACCCTTCATTATTCACACTTTTTTTGTCAGTCTTCCTCCATTATGCTAGTTATAGTAGGATGATTAGTTTATTTGCACATTATAAACCTTGTTTTTCCTGTAAGGTTAACATGTAAAATATGTATTTTGATTATTATCAAGAAAAAATCATCAAAATATGGAATTATGGAATGAAACCATACAAAATGCCTTGAATGTTTAGCATTATACAAAGTACTTTGAAATTTTCATACAATATGAAGTGAAATTAAATAGAGCAAAATCATGATCAAAGAACAATGAGAAGCTGTGATCTAGAAGGGAGAAACCTCTTGCACTCATTGACTCATAACATTCATAGTTGTTTTGGGGAAATCAAATATTTAATGATAATTAGGTGTTTCAAACTATAGTCTGAACTTCAATTCTACTTTTAGCAAACTAATTGAATAGTTTGAACTAATCGAATAATTCTACTCTAGTTATAGTTTGACTCATTGCAAGGGAAGCCTCCCAAACTTTTAGCAAACTAAACTAACTTCCTTTTGAGTTTTGAAACATCAAATAAGTTTTAAAATTGACAAAATCTTACAAGGAAGTATTTCCATGTAATTTTTATTAGCACAGTATTTTTTACATGAGTTGCTAACCCGTATATATGTTTCATGTAAATTTGTGGTCAATCAAAATAATTTTTAATAGTACGCACTCTCAAGTAAGATATAAAAAGAAAAAAAGTAGCATGTGAATAGCATATTATATATGAAGTCTTATAATTAAGTAAATAAAGTTTACATTGTAAAACAGTACATTATATATCAAGCATCATAATTTCGTACATAAATTATGTTGGAACATAAAAGATGAAGAATCATATATCAAGCTCCATATGTGACTACTTAGGAAACTTTATTAAAAATAACATACTACTTTAAGCTTTATCTTTTCAGTAGATGAAATTTAGGTTGGACAATAAGGCAATGTATCAAGCTTAGTACGTTAATATATGATAAATTACATTATAGACTAAGCAAGTATATCAAGCATTATATTTTAGTATACACATTAAATAATCTAAGTATTGAACTGAGTTGTACGTAAATAACTTTGTATAACAAGCTGGATATGTCAAAAGGTGAAAAATAAAATTATGAAATAATAAAGTAATCAAGCTTAATTAGAAACTTCATATATGAAACTTTATATTGTAGAATACTGCAACATATGAAACTTTATATATCTATAAATTAGAAACTACGATGTAAATGAAGTATAGTATATAATTTTGCATAATTTACAATTGAGAACACAAATACCAAACTTATGATTAAATATGTTAATAACATGAATCAAACACATGAAGTGCAATATCTTAGGATATGAAATTTTCACTAAGAAAGATAAATATCAAATTCAAGATAAGTACATAAATGATTGCATAGATTAAGCTCAATGTTCAATTACATGATAATTATGTGGTGTAATAAAAATATCTCAATTTATATAATTTACATTGGGAAACACAAGCATTACACTTAAGAGTGATATACAAAGAATTTAATATATCAAAGAAAATATTTTAATGCATAAATCTCATGTAGTAATAGTAAGTTCATGTGTGAATTTTAATAAGTCAAGCACAGTAAGTCAATACATATTTTAGTGCATAAATTTTACATTTTAGTTTAAATTAGTCTATGTAGTTGTTGGTTTTGGGAGCTCCAACACTTTTGATGATTTAAAAAATGGGTAGAAGGGTGAAATGATAATTTTATATACCCATGATTTTTTTATGATACTAGAAAAATATTGGCAAAATATTATCATAACCCTTAGAATATTCATGTATGATTTTGTGATCGATTGCATATCAATATCTCTTTTTTTTCAAAAAGGGAGTTGACTAAAGAGTCAACTCACCTAGTTAGATGAGATTTACAATCATCATTAGAAAAATTCTTTGAAATGATAATACATTAATTTTAGAATATCATAAATACATTACGTATGGAATCAAAACACATTAGAAAAGAAAAATTAAAAAATTGAGGAAAATACACCAAAGGGTAAAAACGGTAATTGGTTATTATAACAAATATTCGAAGATCTTATTGGCTCTTTTAAACCATTCAATATAATGCAAAATCTCGAATATGATTTATATATTTTTTCTAGAATATTTAGAACTATTTTCATGTAATATTTCATGTTTTATACTTGATATGAATAGAGTCAGTTCAAGAATGTGTGAGAGAGAGAGAGAGGTGATTGCAAGACAGCCGCAAACAACCTCCCACCCCGGTCTGGTTCGGTCTGGTCCGGTTCGGTCGGTCGGCTTACCCGCGCAGAAAAAGTGGCGCGAAATCAACTCCGATCTCCCGCCTCCTCTCTCTCTCTCCCTCCTCCCTCCCTCTCTCAACCTCAACCCTTACAGCGCCCCACTATTTGTTTTACGCCGCCGCCATCTAATCTTCTTCTCCCCCGCGAGATCTCGCTGCAGGCTCAGCAGCCAGATCGCCGCCGCGAAGATGTACCACCATCCGTCCCCCGCGGCTGCCTCCGACGCGCCGAAGCGCAGGGCTGCGGCGGCAGCTGCGGGTAACGGGGGCTCGAAGAAGCGGGGAAGCTACAACTGTGGCCGCTGTGGGCTGCCTAAGAAGGGGCATGTCTGCCTATCCACTGGCTCTCCGGTCAGCGCCGCCGCTTCCCCCTCCTCCGACGCCCAGCGTCTCCGCCGGGCTCTGTCCTTTGACGAGGACCGGGGGGCTCCGGCTGGGCAGGCGGAGGAGATGGGGGTCTATGTACCCTTGGTGGATGTACCGGCAGCAGATGACGAGGTCGGAGATGAGATGGACGGCGACCTGGCGGGGGGTGTCCTGCCAGGGCGGCTCCTGGTGGAGGTGCTGCGCAGGCTGCCACCGAAGGAACTGATGGCGGCGGCGGGAGTGTGTAAAGGATGGAAAGAGTGCGTAGGTAGGGTGTGGAGGGCCGCGGAAGAGCTGAGGATCAGGGTTCCCAGGAGGTCGCAGGTCGGCTTCGTGGGCTCGGTGCTTCAGAAGTGTGGCTCATTGGTCCGCCTATCTCTTCGTATGGAAAGGTTAGGGTTTCTTATTCATATCAAAGAATGCAAACGGAGAGTTAATGGACGAATCTTGGATCAGATGTTTGATCACCAGGTTGTATCCCTTGAATAAAACGCAAAGGGCAAATTTATGATGTGGGGTTAAGGTCTGAGTTCCTTGTTTTCGATCCATATGTTCGAGACCTTGGTGTCTGAACAAGGAAATGTAGTCGATCTAATTAGGTTATGTGGGAAGTTGCTTGCTGACATGTGTGGGACAGGGTTCACCATGGATGTCTTTAATCTTCTCGGGGTTTTATGAGCTAGAGGGTATTGGCTGAGAAAGCAAGTTATGGAGATGAAAAGCTGATTTTCTTCGTATTATTCCCCACACGGCTGTCACTTCCTTGTAATGAAAGGAGCTCCCTTTTTCTTAGACGCAGTAAAAAAAAACTTGTGCGGATTACTCGAGCACGATGAAATACAGATTAAAAACCATTAGTAGATCCAGATCTGCAAGCTTGGTGGTTGTGGATCTCACAGATGAAGTACTCAACTTGGATCGGATGGCATTTTATCTCTTTTGGGGAGTATCTTTTTTCTTTCTATATTTTATCTATAGCGTAGATAACCAGTGGCGACTGCAGTAGGTTCATCTAGATGTGTGCTGTCTTATGATGAAGTGAAGTGAATGTTTCATTGGATCTCAGATCTGGACAGCGTATTGTATACCACCCGTTCTAATATTGCCCTCAACATTATTCTTTCCATTGTAATCATTCCCTCAACTATTTTGTCATTTATAAGTTCGAAAGAGAATCTCTGTGCTCGGTTTGACGGTTTCGCTGAGGTTCTTGACGGGCTTTTTTTATTGCAGTGATTTTAACGCGACAGATCTTGCTTGCGTTGCATTTTCTTGCCCAAACCTGGAAGCTATGGAGATAACCATCCATGATGGTGCAGTTAACCGTATAGTTGGGTATGATTCTGATGCTCCAGCATTTACTATCTCTATAGTGTCTCATTTTGAAAACAGTCCTTTTGGGATGTACAACAATCTAATTGTTGTTTTGAATGTATTTCTGCATATTGATATTGAAAGAATCAATGGCCGTGTATTCCTGTATTCCTCTCCGCTATGCCTTAACTCAGTCAGTTTTTGTGGATAAATATCTAATCATGAAAATTTTAGAGCAATGATTGAAGGTGTGATTGGCGCAGGTTGTGATTGTTTAGTGTGATTATTTTCTTTCGCAGCCCTGATATGAAATAAAAATTAGATTTTATCATATAATCTTTGTTTCAGATACTTGTTTCAACCTGAAAAGGGAAAAATAGAAACCTTCGGAATGCAGTTTGGATATTCATTTTTATTGGAGAAGAAACCTGTTGAGAGAGACAACTAGGACCGGAGTCAACTCATTTATTTTCCTTCCACAATTCCGTAGATTTTAGCTATCTTTATTTCTTTAGAATGATCGTCTTGCCTCAGCAATTCTGACTTTCTTCTGAATTCTGAAAAGTATCTGTGTCTTCATTAGGTTACATGCAATATGCTGCAATTATGTATGGTATGTACATATTAACCAATGTTTCCTTTGTCTGGCGCATTTCAGAGATGCATTAGGCCGTTTCGTTGCTGAAAAACGTTCTCTTACCAGCCTTAAAATTGAAGGTTGTTCTAACCTCGGATTTCTCAACCTCTGCTCTTCAAGTTTGCTTGTTCTTTGGCTGTCTGACCTCCATTGTCTCTCTAAATCAGTAAGTATGCGTAGCCTTATCTATATCTTATGACTTGGTCATTTCTCCTCGTCAATGCAACTACTATTTTCGTCAACGAGTTTAACATCCTCTTCTTGTATCTGCAGGTCATTAGCTGTCCTAATTTAAATGAGATTTCTCTGGACTTTGGTCGACAAGATAATGATTCTACAGATCTTGCCACAATGCTGGATAGTCTTGGTAGAACGTGTCCAAAATTGAGGAACGTACACATTGCATCAACCCGATTGTCTAATTCGGCCGTGCTTGCCCTGACTGGAGCAAAGCTGAGGTCCGTGAATGAGTCTGCATATATTCTCTTGTAGAGAACCATGCTATAGCTTTCATATCCTTCTTAAAGGGAGTTTGCTTTACTTTTTTTGGTCTTGTTCAGTTTCATTAACGTATTTATCTCTCTCTCAGGGATTTACGCATGCTTTCTTTGGTACTCGGTTCAAAGATTACCGATGCAGCTGTAGCCTCCATCGTGTCCTCATATACAGACCTAGAGTTACTTGATCTTAGCGGGTAAATCTCTCCCTAACTTGACCTTTCACTATGCAGGATGGAACTCTTCATAAGTAGTTTCAGTTGTTATTTCGCTTGGAATTCAATTCAAATGTTCCTGGTGTATTTTAAATTGTCAACTGACGCAAACGTTTTCCCCTTGACCCAGATCGAACATTAGTGACAGTGGCATTGGAATGATATGCAATGTATACCCTGACACTCTATCTAGGCTTCTCCTGGCTCTTTGCCCCAACATCACATCAAGTAATTGATCTCCTAATCTCTTAGACGTATTCTTACTCTCTTTTCCCCCCTGGCAGTGTGAGATGCATGTTCTTACCTTCTCCCTGGTATCCTGTCCACGCTTCAGGTGGCATCCAATTTGCGACAGCTCAGTTACCTCTCCTCCAGCTCATCGACTGTGGCATGAGCATGCGCGATGTGGCATCCCAGAGTGATGCCCCTCAAGAAAATCTGCTCCATGATGATGCGGCTGAAGACCCTCGCAGCTGTGAGAGGCCAACGAGGAAACTTCAGCCCATGTACCAAAAGCTGATCATCAAGCATGGGCAGCTAAGGAAGCTCAGCTTGTGGGGTTGCTCTGCCTTAGATGTGAGCTTACCCTTACTTTATTCTATTGCCTTCCACGCCCAATCTCAGTTCTTCACTCAGGCGTTGATGTTTGTTCCTTGCAGGCCTTGCACTTGAACTGCCCAGAGCTCACTGACCTCAACCTAAACTCGTGCACAAATTTGCACCCAGGTGCGTTTCTTTGTGTCCCCTCAGACTTCTGATTGGGCGGCGATGCTGTTTGTTTTCTCCGGGCTGAACAGTCCCAACTTTTTCGTGTTGTTTCAGAGAGGTTGCTCCTTCAGTGTCCCAAATTAGAAATGGTCTCTGCTTCTGGCTGCCAGAACTTTCTCATCGGAGCTGTTCATGACCAGGTACATCCTTCAATTCTTCACATCATTTTGTATTATTTCTCTCCGATTCTTCCTTGCAACCTGAATGGTCAACTGGGATCAGTGAGAGCGCCACTGGCCCTCTTCACCTGCGGCCACCATCACAAGGCCCCAGAATTAGAATCCTGAAAGAGGAGTTGAAGCGGGTTTCATCTGGATCTATGAACAGCACGGGCCATGCAATATGTTCATCTAATCTGATGCTGATTATTTTTTGCCTGCGATGAGAACTCAAATCCTTAACCTTGGATCAAACGAAATTCATCACTCTCTAGTGAAGTATTCAATCATCATGGGAGCGCCAGAGATGGATGGGGTCTCCCATCCGCCTGACAAAAAAAAATTTATGGGCCATAGTTACTTGATCTAAGTTCTGTTATTTTTATTTTCTTTGGAGAACAATCGATCTGGGCACGATTGAATCGGTCTTGGGCTGATGAGCGAGTCCTCGGTTCTTCCCTCCAGATCTTAACTGGGCTTCCCAAAGAAGCGAGTCATCTCCCATGCAAGCGCCTCGGGGACGGCTCGAAGAGGGTCCAGGCTCCCCAATTCCTCGTACAGCAGCAGGTAAAGACATTCGTTTATTACTATTTATATGTTGATATTTATATATTTGTACATATTGTGGGGTTTAATGGGGCGGTCCGCCTGGTACTCTTCCTGACAGGCATCTGGCGAGAAGCAGGCGTCCCCCAGATCCCGCTGCACCCTGCTCGTTGACTGAGGAGCACTCCCGCTGACCCCTCCGCCCGTTGACCGGTTCGCTTTGAGGCCCGTTAACCTTGATACTCTCCTGGTATGTATATCCCTCGGACTTCATCCGCCGAGCCGCAGAAAGTCTGCACCTTGTTGTTATCATCGTGTTTTGGATGTTGTCTGCGGACTTCTTGTCTAATGCAGCGTAATAAAGTATTGACCGTGTTGACTTTTAATGGATCATACTGGGGCCGTACCCAGGAGTCTACGGCATTTAATGGGTCGGGCTTTTATTAGGGCTTGGGCCCAAGTTTGTCTTCAGACGGCGCGATATCAATGATCGTGTTCGCTTTGTGCGAGATGAACGCCCCCGATCGACTCGGATGGGATGATGAACGGCGCCGGCTATGACTCTTCTGGTCTCTCTCCAGCTCCACACGGAGCTCCTCGTTGCGGACTTAGTCGCCATTGACACTGTAGAGCTCGTCTCCGAGTTCGCTAATCATGGCGACGTTCCGCAGCCGGGTGGTCCTCGTGGCGTACGTGACCCTCAGAGGGCTGAGGTGCATCATGCAGCTGGTGGAGCACGCCGGCTGTGTCACAAGGTCAGTGGGGTTGTACCTCCGGAATGCTTGAACGTGTGAAGGTTTGGTTGTCTCCTATACGCCAAGCAGCACACAAATTAAAAGAAAAATCGCTAATACTATACACAAAGAAGTATAAGGGAACGAAAAATTTGGGCGTTCATCGCTCATTACCCTGGTTGCTACTTGGCCCCTCTACCTTGTGTGGCCACACCATCTTGTGTCATGTCGTACCTCTCACCCTCGTGCAGCTGCGTCATGCTAGCGCAGCTACGTCGTGTCGCTGCTGTGTGACCTTTTTGCGTACTGTGCCGTGTCGTGTCGCGTCCCTACACAGGCTCGTGCAGCTGTGTCGTGTCGCTATAGTGAGACCTGTGTGTGCCATAGACTGTGTCGTCCTGCACTGATTGAGCTCTCGTAGTATGTACCCACATAGATTACTTCTCGATCTTATACAAGCAGAGAGGTTCTATACTCGAAATCACAATCCTATTAGCTGAGGGCGTGACACCAGGCCTCTACACCACCCCTCCTAGACCTCTGGGCTGCAAGGTGGTGGTGAGGTGCATGGGCGGTAAGATGGCGGAGACCTATGTCACAGTGGTACACGACCTCGACATGGCGGCGCAACAAACCTCTGTCATCGAGAGTCGGGTAGAAATTCTTGCCACCAATGATGACGATGTCGTGGTGCCTAGTGGGAGATCCCCCGATCTTATAGCCGGCAAAACCTCCATGATGTCTATGGTGAAGAACTTAGTAGAGATAGAGATAGAGATAGACAATGTCATCACCACCATGGACTAAGGACAGCTAGTTCTTGCTGCCGTCAACCTTAAGCTTAACATCCCTCCTGCTTTTGTCGTGACAAATGGCTCTGAAAAATAAAGTTAAACAAAATCCAAGATATTAAATAAAATCGGATCTCATATACTAAATATGTGGCTGTGCAAAAAACCAAAGCACACCACAAGTACAAAATATGTCAAAACATAATGAAACTAATGTTGAGTGCATTTTACTTATTAGAAAAATATTTCCCAAGATCCTACCCATTCACAATGTTATAAATGTTAAAATAATAATATATTGAATACAAATCACTTCATAAAAAATAAAATTTAGTACTTCATACCCTATTTTGTTAAAGTGAGTTATGATAATTCTAGTGTATGGGGACAAAATACTAGTGATAGAAAACAATAATAGTGAGAAAGAACACGTGAGTAATTTACATATAAGTGTTGAAGAAGTTGAGACATCCTTGGAATTAAAGTAGCATATTTAAAATATGATATATTCATATTACAACAAAAATATATTTGTAGATCTGCTCAAAGATATATACAAATTAGGATGTAATCAAGCAACTATTCACATTAACTCAAATCAAAAACTTCATATTTTAAAGGGAAAATATCTTCCTGATACATAAATATACCATTATTTAATGGTCATACTAATCTATCTTTCCCAAACAAGACCAAATATAACATATTGATGGAGGATTTTTAACCAATTTATGCATAATCCTAATGAAGTTCATCTTAAACCAGCTGATAAAGTATTACAATGCCTAAAAGGGACACATGAAAGAGGTATTTTATCCAAGAAAAATAGAAGTATAGATCTTGAGGTTTATCTAAACCTCGGTATTGATTGATCACTCCCCAAACTAGATGATTCTGCCAAGATTGAGATATTGTGGTTAAATCATTATCATATCCTACTGTTTTTGCACGAGTCATGTCAATATTGTGAGTTCCCTCACCTGGCCTTCATTCCAACTTTGTTCTCCTTCATGTCTCTTATTCTAGTCAACTGATTGTGCCACTATTGCTCATTCCTCTATTGTAGGAGTCTAAAATGCTGTGCCAGACTCTCCAAGTTATGATTTACCACTAGAAGTTTTCGTAGTTGGTATTCCACATCCAAAAGGCTTTGTAGGCGGCTTTTATCCACAAATGTCATCACAGCCCTTCCTTTATCTTTGAAAGTCATCAGAGCCTTTTGCACACTTATTCCACTTCTCTCTCCAAATTCTTCAATCATCCATTTGCAAACTTTGGCGGCATCTATCTTTGTAATATCATGACTCTAATGCTAGTCGATAGAATATCAATAATACAAGAAGATTGAGAAGTAAACCTAATATGTATGACAACAAAAGAAGAAAAGAAGATGATGGTTGGAAATCCAAAATGCCCTAATAACCTTTCATGAAGGTTATTACTTTCCACCAAATCCTATCATTTTGATACCCCTCTCTCCTCTCCCTCTTTCCCTTATTTATCCCATCTCCTTTTTAATATTATTGAAAACCTCTTACCAGTTAGACTTTACCCCTTGGCCTGTCCACATATTAGATAAATATTAGTTTAACAAAAAAAATGATTTCTAAATACTTAATGGCCCACAATATTGTAAATCTTAAAATAATGACATATTGAATATAACTCACTTCATAGTAAAATTAAATACATGATACAATATTTCGTGATTCATGAATAATAGAAGCTAAGATTGAGAAACAAATGAAAAAAAGAAGTTTTTAGCAAAACTCTTCTTTTCAAATGCTTAGAACACAAGGTTCATCTCTTCTTGAAGTAAATAGGAACTCTAAATGAGAGAAAAGAGAAAGATGTTTCTCTCTCTCTCTCTCCTCTAAGTTAGATCTCCACCTTGAAGCAGCTACATCTTTCCTTCATAAAGCTAATGGAGCTCATTGATTTTCCCACATGTTGCCTCACTCTCATTTTGTTTGCATCACCTTGATGTCATTAAAGAAGGGGAAAATGCATTCCCTTTCACATTTTGGGCCATTATATATGGCCCATTAGTTTGGGCAGTCAACAACAACCCCCCTACCCCTTCCACCTACCACCGAAAAGATTGTTGGGTTGACTATCAAAAGCTGAATATAGTCTTGTCCCTTGGACAGGACTTCAAGTCATATCAAACCTGGTTAGAATGGTATGTTGACTATTGAGTCGGTATCAGACTTAGTATATAATTAACCGTTTGACTTGAAGGACAGGACTTCAGATCTCAACTCACTTAACCGATTGACTTCCTCACTTAGTAGTTTATCTCAATGTAATAATAACTATTACGTTGTTAATCATAAAATTGAAGTATATAATTATTTAAAAAATTATGTATATGGGGATTATTATTCCAAAATAAAATTCTTAGTTATTAAAACCCATGCAAGTAATACCCAAAGTAGGCCCCTCAGTTGATTATGATGTGGGCGGGCTGGCTTTCCTGCAGTTAGTTGACCCGGTGGGCCTTACCATCATAATAATCAACTGATTATCCTAAAACCAGTACGGGAGTTTTGCACGTGTGAATTGGTTGCGGGGGAAGGGGTGAACGTGCGGTGTGAGGGCATCAAAGTCACGCGCTAGCGGCGATGAAGCGCAGAGCCAGGCGAAGAGGGGGGGAGGGGGAGTTGGAGAGCTCGGCGGAGGGGAAGAAGACGACTTAGTTTCCGACGAACCCTAAAGTTTCAGGTTATTCGAGTACAAGCGGAGGTGTTTTCTTTCTAACGGTAGCGGGGAGGTGGCGCTGGGGATGGCCAAAGGGGGCTACGCCGGCCGCCGGGTCCCCGAGGGCAGGCCGGTCGCCCGCCGGCCGAAGGGTCTGGGACCTGACAAGAAGAAGAAGAACTTTAAGCCCAGCTCCCTTAAGAAGCAGATTCGCTCTACGGAGCGGATGCTCCGTCAGGTATACACTTATTTTCAACCCTTTGTCTTTTCAATGTTACTTTGGACATCATCATGTTTGGTTTTCCCTTGATTAATAATATTTTATTTATTTTATTTTGGCCATTGCCTCCATGTCTTACATATTTCTGAAATCTTTGCCCAATTTGAAAGTTTCTTGTGATTTTCTGTGGTGTTCAGCGTAATTAACCTTCACACACGGGTCGTAAAAAATTGTGACTTTATGTTGGCTTGAATTACATCGCTTTAAAAACTCTGAAGGTTTCTAGCAGATTTTGTCGTATTGAATTTTTCTTCTATGTTTTAGCCTGATACTCATATCCTTGTGAGTGGTTGTAAGTTTAGAGTTTTTGATGACGCTTTGTTAATGTTTATGAGAGTTAAAATTTGTATCCAGTAATTTTCATACAAAGTACGATGTCTTACATTTAACTGAGGGATAAATAATTATATGTGTGATTAAAGCGAAATGCGAATGTCATAAATACAGAACAGAATCACATACTACTCGTTGATTGGATAATGTAAACATGAAAATGAAGCTTACAATTTTCTTAATCTGTCAAAATACTCTTGAATTCAAGGGCATAGTCTCTCACTCTTTACTCACCAACATATGACAGTCAGAATCGTCAATGCTATACCATCCTCAATTCTTCTTCTCTAGGGATGTCTACATAAATATCATTTTTTACCTTACCTCAACCATGCTAAGGTAAAGTTTATAATTCTGTAATACACTGCTCTGCTAAAGAAGATCACAGCACAAGTATGGTTTTCTTGTGTAAAAATACCAATGATGATGATGATGATATGTTGGGTGGAGGTTAGAGAAGACGATCTTCCATTTTTCTGACATCATTACCTTGTACGTCCCCCTTTTGATTTCTCTTGGACATTGGAAACAAATGATGATACAACGTGTCAACGTGTCAATACTTTCTGTGGACTGCATAACCATGCTGTTGTACCAAGTGAAGGAAATGTGAAGGCGCGATCTTTAAAATTACTTCCGAGTTAAATTTTTAATTAATGATGTTGATGTCAATGACTTGGATTATATTCTGTATGAATTGCATGAGAGGATTATATTTGGTTCCAGACTGGCCTAATTCCCATGTGATTCAACATCAACCGCATCAAATCTACTTACTGTTGGCCAGCTTGTTGATTCCTATGGGCATGAAAACTTTGTTGTGTGAGACCATCCCAACTTTCGCAAATTGAATTCAAGTTTATAGACCATGATTACATAAAGATTAGTAGCGTGGGAACGGTAGTTGTATAAATTGTGAATAAGTTTGATGTTGCATTCTCTTTTTTTCTGTGATATTTTAGCGGCCATAAATCTAGGAGTCGTAGTCAAAATAAAGCCTATATTTCAGATACTTATATGGAATTTTTTGGTGTTGTGTATGTTAAGGGGATAGTTTTGTGTGTTGGAGCAACTATGATTGTTTTCTTAATCTATTTATTGGAATGGACTATGTTTCAAATACTCAAATATGGTTTATGAAACTGAAGTAGATCCTCCCTCTTTTGAACTCCCTATTTTATTTCAAGTTCTGAATTTTCTCTCAATATTTTGTTTTTAACTCTTACCTTTGTTGTAATGTCTACTAACATTGCGAAAGAATGTTTTGACAATGTCCGATGAAATGAATTTATATGCAGAACAAGACTTTATCTAATTTCTATGGGAAAGTGAGTATCGCTTTCATTCTGAGTGAAATTTCATCTTCATTTCTAAATGTATCTGATGTCATTGGTTGGCCTCCAAAGCAATGTTCCTAGTTGCCAGATTGTTATGTCCGTACACATGGGTAGAACGTTTTGAATGATAAAATGCCAAATTTAACATGAAGTTGTGTTGCTTTATTCATAAGAAAATCCTGTGATGTTGACTGTTTGATGACGGTAACCATATGATAACGTTTTGATTTCTTGAAGAATCTTCCCCTTCAAATCAAGGAGGCTCAGGAAAAGAAACTGGAAATGCTTAAAGAACAACAGGAGCTTCAGGCACGTTTAGCTGTTGAACGTAAAATATTTTTGAGGGACAGAAAGAAAAAGTTTTTTGGTATGGTTTTTGTTGGTGCTCGTTTCATTTGCTGATTGCTTTGAGAATCTATATGCTCTTCCATCCTCATTCCTTCCTGATGAAATTGAATATTTTTTAAATCTAATGCAGAGAGAAGGAAGATCGAGAGGATGATCAGGCGTCTGGAGAAGCAGCAACGCCTATCATCAGATCATACCTCTGAGGAAAGGGTTTCTGATCAGCTTTGTAAACTAAAAGAGGATCTTGAATATGTCAGGGTAAGACCTGTAGAACATTTTTATATCGTATTGCCTTTGCAATATTTTGTTTTGGCTAGCACTGCCATCTTTTTTTGACAAGTCCTTAGAAAGAAGGCTGATGATAAAAGGACAGTAAACCAACTTACACTACACGAACATAGGAGAACAAATCCGTTTTCAGGGCGATGGTTATCTCTAACATCTCTGACTTACCAAGAACAGAACCTCAGTCAAAAGCTAAAGATGCTCGTGACTGTGGCAGCTTTTAGAATAAAAACTCCTTCGACTTTAATTCCTGAGCCAAAATGAAGATATTTGGTCTTTGAGGTGCCGAATTTGTGCACCATTCTTGTAGAAGATGATCTGATCAACTCAATAGGAGTTTAAAGAGCTACAGTAAATTCATTTATGAACAGTTATCGCTTCTTTACCAACAAATTCATCTACAAATCTCAGAGTTGATGAATTTATATACCCGTGGTCGTTTTGCTATCAAGTCTTCCCTCTCACTGTACAATTCCAAAGTGATTTTACCAAAACATCTGTAACGAAGTATTCGCATGCAAAGCAAGATAAAAAGTTGGCCAACATGTCTTTTTGGTTCTCATATGCATAGTATCCATCCTTCATTACGAGCAGGAACTATTTAAAAACATCCTCATTCAATTCCATTCGCGTCATCTATTCACTACATCTTTCCAAATTCAACTTGAAACCTTAGCGGAGATGTGTTTATATGATGTTCAATTCTTTATGCCATAGTTTATTGTAGCGATGATCAATTCTTCATTAGTGTCCTGTTTTCATCAGCTTGTTTTTTATATCATTGGTGTCTTCCAGCTGTCTATCTGGGCTGTTAATCATGTTATTTATATCGAAATAAGCTTTATGGTTGTTTCTAGATCACTATAGATGCACGCTTTGTAGATCTTCTTCTTTTTGAAACCTATGAAGTTTTGTATACGACGAACCTATCAGAATGCTGCCTATAATTTTGTCGCATTTTTTCCATGTTTTCCTTGTTAATCACATATTTGGTATATATTCGGGCTACAATTAATTGCTATAAGACGTAGTTGCTAACTCTTGAATTGTGTCTTCTGAACTCCAGTTCTTTCCAAAGACAGAGAAATATATTCCTTTGTTCATTGGAGTGGATGACGCAGATATGATTGAAAAGAGAAATAAACTACGGAAGCAGATAAAGACTAACTTGATAGCTGCTGCTGCCAGTGGGAAGGACCTGGAAGGTACCCTTTACTGTCCTGGATATATCTTTTCCCTTGAAATCCCTTATTCCTTTGTCATTGATAAAATGCACGGCAATGCTAAAGGTTTTCAATGAAAGATTAAATACAAGAGTTTGGCACTCTGCGATGATCAGATGCAACAGATAAGTATGAGCAGTTAAGCTGTTCGCCTGAACCTTGTAAAGAATCGCCTGACTCACACAGGACCAAGATGGACCTTAGTTCGGGAGAATTTAGGGTGTTTCTATGGCTCGTGAAAGCCTCCCATATGATGCATGCATGATGTTAACTGACCTGGTCGTGGAATGTAGTCTCAGTCACCGACCTAGTCATCATTGTCACCTTCTAGTCCAAACCAGGGCCTGCTTGCAGACTGAGCCAGCCAGCTGTTTCTGGTCTCATAAGTACATTTATGCATACTTTATGCTTTAATGCACTATTTGTGCCACGAGTTATTTCTCCTCTCTTTCTTGATTTTCTATGATAATCTATGGCTGTACAGAAACAGGAAGTGAGGATGATGGACTTTTAGATACGAGTGATGATGATTTTTTCCTCAATGGAAGCTCAAGTGAAGTTGAGGCTGATGACGAATGGACAGACAAGAGTACAAGGTATTCCACTACAAACGATTCTTTTTTTTTTCCTGGAAATATAAGAAGAGTAAACATCTGATTTTTCATCAAAATTGTATACATAATACCTCACGTTGTACGGATTTCCATGCACGAACAACTCTCTAAAAAATATGTGACCCGTCCATTGATCTCTGAATATTTACATGCTGTCTAAGTCAATGCAATATCTGCCAAATCTCTAGAATATTCTACATAATTTTTTTTTCATACTTATCCCCTGTGATAAAATTCTGTTGAAAGATAAATTAGGGAATCCTACGTAAATCTTAAAGATACGATATGCCTGGTGAATATTCAGTTGTGTAACTTCTCAATAAGAATCGAATGGTTGGATGAGAGCGTGACCGTGCTAATTCTGTATTTAACTGCCAGACGATAGCAGACAAGTTTGCCCACATCCGATCTGCAGCGTTTAGTCCAGGAGAAACAAGGTTAACTATACTTGTCTCCATGGAAATTTATCGGCTCTTTTCACTCTTCTTATGGACAGATAATAATTGTCTCTCACTTAGAGCACATAATTGTCAAGATGTATGTCTGATGAAGTTGTTAGCATCTGATTGCCAATGTGTTCAGTCTGCAAAAAAATCATTTGGAGCAAAGGGGTAGTCGATTCTTTTGAGAAAAATAAGCATCCAGTTGATCAGTCTTCTGTACAGCCAAATGATCAAATGCATTTCGTCAATCAGCTCTTTGATATTTAGATCAAATGCTCTCAGAGAAGTTATTTGGTGATAGTCGGGATGAGCAGAAGACATTTATTGATACTCAGAGTGACCAGGTGTGGGGTATTTAATTCTTTGACCGCTCAAATGAGTGGATGACCAATGCCTTGACTGTCCAAATTAAAAATCGTAAGTTTTGATTTTTAATTTGGTATATTCTCAACTGATCCTGAGAATAATATTCATAATGGGCCGTTTTTACCGCCAAGATTATTTTTATATGCATCTACTCGAAAAACTGTCGATTCATAATTTTAAATGGTTGCGATTTCAGTCTTCACGACCTAAAAAATATCCTATGTCATTTATTTCTGATGCGATTAAATTGTAAGTATTTTTGTACTTTGAAGTTGAAGCAAAGAGCTCTATTTTTTATCTCTCATTTCTTTACTGCTCTCGCCTTTTGTCATGGAGGTATCTCTAAGATTATTATTGTTCAAAGGTTACTATTCTAGAATCTCTTAATCCTTACCTAGTATCCTCTCATATGAGAGATCCATAGTTTAGAACATGAATCGAAATCAGACACAATGGAAAACGAATGGATTTATGTGGGACATGCTGCACAAGAATGTGTTACAAACTTAATTCACTGGAGTTACTGACGCATCATTAATCTCCCCATGATATTGTTTTTCTGCGTGTATTCTTCTCAGTAATTTACCATCTAGCTGCATTCATTGAAGCGAATTTTCCAAAACATTCAAATTGCAGCCGGAAGAGTAATCTTAGGAATGGAGTTCTCAGTCCAGCGGGTAATCCTCATTGAATTCTGGGTGGTCTGGGACAAACGACCTCGTTATGTAGATGGCCTTTTAGGTATTAATGTCGTCGTGTGCAACTCTGATGTTGGCCTCTGCCCATCTACTCTGGGTCAGCCATGAAAGCTTCATAGTATCTATCCCATAATTGATTCGGAAGCTGTTAGATGGGATGATGAGTGATAGTAAAACTTTGTCATCATACAAATAGCTTACTTTCCCTAACTGACTCTGTAATCTTTTGAGCGCTGTCCCTAATTGGTTCTCCAATTCTAAAATGACGGACCCATCTGAAGCATATGACGTATGGACTCTTATTATATTCTTCACCCTGCAGGGAACCAGCTTCAAGTGCATCTGGGAAAGCAGCATCTGGCGTGTCCAGTGACGAAAAAAATCAGGTTCCGGGCTTGGATCTTCTCTCTCTCTCTCTCTCTCTCTCTCTCTCTCTCTCTCTCTCGCTCGCTCAATGGTGGCATTTCTCATCCTTCTCCTTTGATCATGTTATACAGAGACACGAGTCGGCTCGGGCTCTCATGCCGCCACCAAGACCCTTCAGTCGCCCCTCCAAGAACGCCGGTCATAGGCAATCGAGACCGTCGGGCTCGTCAAGGGGGCGGCCCTCTTCAGGGAAGGCGAAGCCATCCACATCCAGCAACACGTCACACAGCTGGAGTGGCCCGTCAAAGAAGGGGGCCTCCTCCAGCGCCCGCGCAGACCATAGCAGCAACCTGAGCTCCAATTCGGACGCCCACAAGCCTCGTCGGAAGAGGCGGCCCAAGAAGAAGAAGCAGGCCTGACCCAACCTCTGCTGAGCGCCGTGAGCCTGGAAACTCTCCATTTTTATTGTCATTTTTCTGAAACCCTGGCGAGTGCATCCAATGATGAAGATACAAAAGTGGGCCGACAGATGGAAGCCCTGAATCCTATTCAGGAAGCGGCATTAAATTATATATTTTTCTATCATTTATTTCTTTCTACCTGATCCCCAGCCAGGTTTCTATTCTTGTGTTATGGAGGGAAGACGGTTTCCTGTGCTTGGACTACTTCAAACAACGGCTATAAAGGCCAATTGGCCCTCTCTGTTCCTGGATCTCCTCGCAAGGAGCAGCATCTGCCTGAAAAGTCTCTGAGCATCATCCCTAATGTCTTTCTCATTGACACGATCTGGGTTCTTCTTAATATGCCTTAATTCTCTGGGAGAGAGGTTGGAATTATAAGGTCATGTAGTGTTTGGGTGATGGTTTAGAGAATTCTATTGGTATACTCCAATATGGGGCCTCAAGGTCCAGCCTAGTAAGAAATACTGGCCCTTTTTGGGCGGATTTCTGCATGGTTGGGTTAGCGTTCATGGGGTCTCCCTCTCTCTCTCTCTCTCTCTCTCTCTCCTTACCTCCGAAAAGTGGGTATTATTTCCCAGATGGATTCATCAAAAATCCACAGTTGGCGCAGAGGAAGCAAAAAAAAATATATTAGGGTGTTGCTTCCTTGAAAAAAGTATCAAGGTTATCTTGATCTGCTGGACATATCGTCGAACAGGTAACCGGGGCCTTCCTCGGGGCAGAGCTCCTCGTCCTCCACAGCGAGGAGGCCGCCGCGACCGGCGAGGAGATGATGTACCGTCTCGTAGATCCTCTCCCGCAGAGGATGCTCGCCGTCGCCGGAGACGAAGGAGCTCACCACGCCGTCCAACTCGATCTCGCTCCGCCCCGTGGTCTTCCTTCCCGGCCTGCCCCCCAACGCCTTCCTTGTCCTCTGGGCGTCCTCCACCCTGTTGGCGCCCATGTAGATGCTCCATAGCTGCACGTGGGCTCCGTCGGCGGCCCCCGCACCGAGCTCCTCTTCGATCTTCTCCAGCTCCGCCACCGCGAGCTCCGCTAGCTCGACGGCGCCACCTGCCCGGCAGCCCGCCAAGACGGAGCCCCACACGGAGGCGAGCGGCCGCATGGGCATGGCCCTGGCGAGCTCCACAGCCTCCTCCAACCGCCCCACCTTGCAGAGCATGTCCACGGCGCAGGCGTAGTGCTCGTGCCGGGGGGAAACACCGTAAAGCGCCTCCATCTCCGCCAGCAGGCGGCGGCCCTCCTCCGCCTTCCCAGCGTGCGCGCACGCGCTGAGCGCCCCCAGCAGGGCGACGCCATCGGGCCGCAGCCCGTCCTGCTCCTGCATCCCCCGCAGACAGCCGACGGCCTCCTCCGCCAGCCCGTGCACGGCGAGCCCGCCGATGAGGGCGGACCAGAGGAACCGGCACCGGCGAGGCGCCGTCTCAAACACCTCCCGCGCGGCGTCTAGGCTGCCGCACTTGGCGTACATGGTGACCAGCGCGGCGCAGATGTGGGCGTCGTCGGTGCGGAGCTCGCCAGCGTTGTCGCGGAGGTAGCAGTGGATCCAGCGGCCCTCGCGGAGGGTCCCCGCGCGGGCGCAGGCGGCGAGGGCGGTGGTGAGGGCGACCTCGTCGGGCTGCGCGCCGGAGAGCAGGAGACGGCGGAAGAGTTGCAGGGCCTCGCAGGGGAGCCCACGGCGGAGGTACCCGCTCATGAGGACGTCCCAGTGGACGACATCTCTACGGGGGATTTCGTCGAACAGGTTGTGGGCGCCGCCGGGAACCAGCTCCATGAAGGTGACGTAGAAGCGGAGGAGCGCCGTCTGCACGTAGTGGTCGCCGGCGGCGAGCCCGTTCTTGCAGAGGAGGCCGTGGAGCTGCAGCCCCGGAGAGGGACACTGCGCGGCGGAGCACCCGTGGAGGACGAAGGGGAAGGTGAGATGGTCCGGCGCCACCGCCGCCGCCTGCTCCTCCTCGCCGGAGAGGGCCAGGAGGTGGTGGTGGCGCTGCCGCATGAGCTGGAAGAAGCAGAGGGCGGCGGCAGGGTGGGGGCTGCGGGCGTAGGCCCGAATGAGGGTGTTGAAGATGAAGGCGTTGGGCGGCGCCTCCGCGTGCCGGAGAAGGAGGCCAGCGTAGGAGAGGAAGTCACCGCCGCTGCCGTCGGCGGCGCCGTCATCCTCGGCAGAGCCGGTGGCTAGGAGGATGAGGCGGCTGAGGGCGTAGGTGTGCCGGTGGAGGCCGTGGGCCACGAAGACGGCGTGGGTCGCCCGGAGCCGCGGCACGTTGGGGCAGGGCGCCAACTGCGTCAGCCGCATGCACCGCCGCCACGCCCACGGCAGCGCCCGCATTGCCACGGCGGCGCCGCCAACTCCGCCGGCCTGGTTTTTTAAACCCTCCGCCAACGCGGGGACGAGCGGGCGAGGCCCGTTCAATCGACTTGGGCCATATTGGGCTCGAGAGTCCAAATAGGCTGACAGCCCAATATAACCTCATTAGCCCCTGACAGGCATCCAATCCACTCCATATTGGGCCGCATCCAGCCTCATCTGTTCCACATCGAAATTAATATGACTTTAGCCCCTCGGAAATAACAAAACTCACATAAACTTTCATGTCCAACAAGCGCAAACTCCGTTTTTAACCCAAAAAGCGGGGGAGAAGAAAAAGTCAACCTTAACAAAAAAGGGATAAAATAATGAATTATAATCCACCAGGTGCCGATAATTATCATGTTGGAATCTTGGCAGAGGCGATTGATGCCAGGCCGATGCTCGTCCCTGCAATGTACCCTCCAGACCAAGCGTTCTACAGAGGCACAAGAAGGTGGCAACCTCGGTGAGCAGGAGAAGGATCACTTACTCCAGATTTGGCAACTGTGAAGAGCCCTAATATCACACAATATCTTCATGATTGCATACTACACCAAATTGGGAATTTTTTCAGGATTATACAGAAGACCCAGATTAGCTAAAAGTCCCAAGATCATGTAATAGAGGTTATATAAATAATGTTCATGATGGCATATTACTGGTAAGTTCTAAGGATATTTTCCTCAAAATTGAATATGCATACTAATGAACCCATTTGGCTGAACAATTTTACATAAATCAAGTTTATTTGACCTGGATATCGATGAAGAAATAGATTACTACAAGATTTACCTGGAAGTTGAAACCACCCGTAACTCCATCAACATTTAATACCTGGTATTAATCAAAATTTCTAATAATTAGAATTTTTTCCTTTTCTGATCAGGAAAGGGAAAAAAAAAGAAAAAAATTCACCCATCCATCACCTCTCCCGCGAAAAATAGGCGAGGTTGTAATCGGCTCTCCATTGTGCTGAGCGAAATCTTCAGAAAATAATGAAATAAAAATCAAGTCTGGAGTAGAGAAATTGAAAGCGTTTTCAACCTAATGCTCGATAAACAGATGCAAACCTCTGAAAGTGGAACTCCTCCGGCAGTGACGAACTCATCCTTGAATTGCCCCTTCATCAGAAAGCAAGAACAGTAATCAACATTCGAGAAAGAGTCTATAAAAGAATGGCAGATAGATTTGCATACCTTTCCCACAATAGGAAATGTGCATTGCTTCAGAAGAAGCGCTAACGAATGCAAAGAGCTGTTTGAGAAGGAAGACCACAAGATCTCTCCATCAAGACCCTGGAGTGCAGATTCCTACCGCCATCAGATGTTGAACAGTAAATATGTATGAGCAAGCGTCTCCAAAGTCTCCACGGATTTTCTCACCTCGCGTTCAAGCAGATATCTCCAGAATCTCCTTACGAGGCCGAATCTTAATGGAAGGGAATTAATCATCTTCTGCTTCTGCGCCATTTTAGGAAATTGAAGAAATGGGCAAATTTTTCAGATAAAGATAGTATCTCAATTGGGTTTAAGCTAGATGGCTCATTCATTTCAATAAAAGTCGAGTACATACACTGAAATTCTACCACATGGAACGGGACCAGCAAAATATTGTGGTTAAAATGGCAAAATTCTTGGGTTTGAAATATGTGACTACGCTCTGCTCATGATCAATTCGGGTGTGACTTTGATGGTCTACTTTGCTAAGAAAAATTGAGATTAAAATAGATAAGGGAGGTGAAAACACCATGTTTGGTTGAAATCAGCCTCACAAAAGCAACGGTTGTTGATGACTAGTAAAAGAGATGTATTGGGATCTATAATGGCCAGTCAATAATGAAATACTGGATGAGGAAGATCTTTTAAAGTCTTTTGCAAGCGAAATTAAACAAAAAAAACCGAAGAGCAGAGGAACCAACCGCTAGCTTCTCTTTGTGTTGAATGAGAGTGTGTTTCACATCTTCAATGTGGATGTCAGGAACAAAATCAACAAAAAGAGTTCCTGCACTTACAACCAAAAAACCTTATCAAAACGGGGATACTGAAGAGAGCAAACTGGTACAATTGCCTTGTAAAGATAACATCTGTTTTAAAAAGCAGTAAAAAATAGGAAAACAAACGTTATGAGCAAATGGGAAAACTCAGTCCAAAAGCACCATTCAATAAATATCCGTAAGATATCGAAGGGATTCGACAAACAATAGACGCCCGTTTATGGACTATGAAAAGAAGCAACAATCACGAACATATTGAGCCAAAACTCCATCCCAATCAAGAAACACTTTTCAACTATGAACCTAGAACGGACCACTTGGCACATGCACATTATTTGGATAGAGCATCCACCTTTGTAATCAGATTCAGCTAAATCACGTGCTCCCCAAGCAGACAGTCGCAGAATCACAGGACCACTAAGTCCCCAGTGTGTCACTAACATCGGCCCAACCTAAAGCTATGGAAACATCAGTCACAAATATATTAGATTAAATTAACTCAGAAAATGAGAAAAAAACCTGGCTGAACTGAGGTATAGTCCTGCTGCTGTTTTGTAATTTTAGCTTCGCTTTGACTCTTGGGAATGTAACCTGAAAGTCGTTAAAGCAAATCAGTTAGCTGAGAGAAAAATTATAATAAAGAGAAATGAGCATAATTTTAGTAGGGAATCCAACTTCCCAGTGGTAGCTAAAATTTTGATTGAAGCTAAAAGAAGTGCATACCATTTTCCATTAAAGAAAGGGAAGAAGATCTTAGACATTTTTCAAGAGAGATAGAATGATGCTGCTATTCTCGTAGATCAATGGAATAGAAAATTAGAAATCGTCCTACAGCCGTTGCAGCCAGCGTTAGGCATGAGGTAGCCAATATGCAGAGGTGAGGACACCTTCAGAGTTGCTCGTTTAGGGTACAGATTCAGTCTCACTGCTCTCGTTGATGAGGGCATCACCATCTCCTCAAGCAGTTTGAAGTGGGTTTTGTTCCTGACAGGGCTGTTCATTTCTGCTGTGGTAGAAGCAGTATCACTCTTGCTTGGAACTGTGAGGTAAAATTTTCCCTACAAAACATAATGCTGATGTCCCGTCCTCATCATTCCCTTGGATATTGAAAATTCGAGGACCTTAATATCAGCTACGACCAAGAAAAGAGTACCCCTGGCACAGCAGTAGTACTCGAAGAGTTTAGGGAGAGTGATGACAAGTGATATTCACTCTATGCCCAATTATTGCCTTTGACTCTCATCCTTTTGGATTAGGAATAGGAGTTGAGCCACAGGCTAACATTAGAAACTAGAAGATCTAACTTTGGATCCTTTCTCCCCCCATCATAGCACCTAATCTTGAATTACAACTCCAGCATTACCACGATAAAATTCGATCTTAGATGAAGGAATATATAAGAAGACATGGTAAATGATTGAGAATGTCACCCCAGAAAGATCTGCCAACTGTGCATCAGCTATTTTGAACGTGAATAAACTAGGCGCAGGATCTATTATGGAGTGCCCAAGCTGGATGGCAATTGTGTAACCCTAAAACCAAAATAAGGAAAATGTTACGTACAGAAAGTCTGGGAAATGTATGTAAAACATTGGACTGCTTGCAGACCTGACGACTGCTCCCTGTAGCAATCAATAGAAAGTCTGCCTCGACATATTCAACAGAATCAATAGAACGCTTCTCCACTTGAAGAAGAAATTTTCCGTTGGCATCAACTGATGCTTTTGTAACAACTTTGCCTATCTGCAATGTAACTACAAAATAAGATTATACTTCAGCAAACCAGGTTTTAGAATGACATAAATTAAACATGAATCATAACAGTACGAGCTTAACTTCATACGAATTCAAGATCAAAAGAGACGCTATGTCATATTTTTCATTTTTAATAATTGTGACCCAATAAATTCTCAAGCAAAAGAAAATGTTTCAAAACGATGGCAAACAGGAGCAGGACATGAAAACATAGGAAAACAATCAAAACACCTTCTGCTCCCCATGTAATCCCCTTATGCACGCACAAGATCATTATTCTTATTGAAGGTTAACTTGAATCCAACATTTTCTGTTCACCATGAGTAATCCCTCATTTAATAGACTGTCCAACGTTGGCTTTATGAGCTTTGGCAATGTTTCAGTCAATATGTAATGGTGGGAATTTAGATTATCCAAATGCTTACCCAACTGGATTATTTAGTTCCAAGAAAAAGAAAATTAATCAAATTAGTATTAATGGATACCAAAGATCTGAATAACGTCTGCTGTAAATATGATTTTCCAGACTCCATCACACAAGCCCTGGTTGATATTACGAGTGATGAAGAAGATCTACTGTTGCCGAGGTTTCTTGGGTTGCAATACCATTGAATGGCATAGGCAGATGAACCATACAACCTTTCTGTCACCTAAGGTTCCCTTGGGTGATAAAAACATATCTGCTGGACAGAACATACCAAAACCTTACATGTCACTCAATAGTAAAATATTTGACGAAGCGGAATGTTACATTGATTAGGCGGTGGCCAAAGATAAGACTTGTCAAGTGATTTTGTCAAAAGAGTTTTTAGGGCTTCAAGTTGTGGAGTAAACTCTCGTAAAGGTCAAAAAGCGATTATTTCACAACGAATACAAGGAAAATGCATTGGTCTCTAGAAAAAGATTTCCTCCGTCCTTTATTGTGCACTATTGAGAAGCAGAATTTGAAATGGATAACTAAGGCAGTTGAGAATATCCTGGAAATCTTACCAAACTGGTGCCACTATACACCAGAAGGTATGTAGTAGCATCTACCAGAAATTAACCCGGAAATCACCTCTCGGGCAATTGGCATATACCAAAAGGTTAATATCAAATCTCTAGAGATGTTTACAACCATGTTCTCTTCTCAAGGGCACATCAAAGTCAAAGTCAAAGTCAAGGACTCCTGAGTGAACTACTCTTGCAGGGTACAAGCAAAGGAAAACTTCTCATACTTTTCATTGAAACTTGAAGTCAACCTCAGGATCTCCAAGGAAAAATATTATGGTAAGGAGTTTGATAAAAAGGGCCAATATTATATGTGCCACATGATAGATGGGATGAATTAAATACTCTAATTGGAAAGAGAGCCTAGCGCTCATCACTGAGATTTGAAAGCTTCGACTTTGTATACTAGCCCATTTAATTATGTTTATGTCACAAACCAATTCTCTGAAGTTCATCCGAAGATCCATATCATTTAGCTTGGAAAACACTTCCCAAAAACCAAAGCAAGAAGTAGCTTCCACAGTGCCGATTGAAGATGAAATTGGAAGTACAGAACCACAATATCAACAAACCAACAAATCATACCTCCTTTCCTCTTCGCTTCATGCAGAAGGCAGTCAATTACTGTCGATGAGCTATTGCTAACAGGAAAAACCCTGCCATCTTCCTCTGTCTGCAAAAGAAAGCATAGCATCTCAGATCATTAGAAGGAACTTTGTCGTACACAATTAGACAGTATAGCCGATCAGAAGACGGTTCAGCGTTTATATTCTGTCATCAGAGACCTTGAGTTCCACACCATGTTGAGAAAACCAGGATATGGTGTCCAATGGTCCATGAACATCAAAAAAGGACCCTCGCAGTTCTTTGCTTCCTCTTGGATAGTTTTCTACAAGGGTCTGCATTTATCACTCATATATAGAAAACTAGTTTAGTTTCAGTTTGAAAGCAGCCAAAAAGTATGCGAAAACATAATCAGAACTAAACACAACAAAATTCTATTATATTTTTACTGATTTTTCCTAAATGATAATTAAAATAGTAATTATATTTGGGAAGTACATTAAGTTGCATAGGGAGGATACAACATGAAGCATGAGGACCATATAAGGAAAGAAGCAAATAGCATCGCAGCAATCATTGATGGCCCAAAAAAAGACAAGTAGCAAACTTCAGTCCAGCATGTTCTTTCATTCTATTAAAACCTAAGGCAGCTGATTTCAGAAGACAATTCTTTGGGCTCCGAACTGAAGGAAACTAGTTATACGAACCAGAGTATATATTTAGACTTTTCCAACCAAGAAACTTAGAAGGATGACCACGAGATGAGGTATAAAGCAAATAAAACTGTGGCGCAAATGAAAGAAACAAGAGCAAAAAGGGGATAAACTTTAAACGAGGCATCAATCAGCTACGCTACTCGGAGTTTGTGGCAAAGATCAACAGCCGCATGGGACTGTTACTGAGGTAGTTTTATGTGAATTGCATGAGCAGGAGTTTAACGTGAGGATCTGACTGATGGTGGGAGTTTGAAATGATGTTGTGTTTAAGATTAGAATGCAGGAGGCTCAGAAGAAAAATCAAGATGACAAACCAATTAGGAAAACCTTTCTGATGTTTGACTAAAAGGTTGGTGAACAGTCACGCTATCAGCTTAGTAGTTGCATGTATGATGCTACAAAAAGATAAGAAACAAATAAACCACCAAAACGCCTTCACCATGACCTCTGAGAAGACGTCCAGTGGCACTGGCAAGAATTGCATTAATTTTGTATCACGAGGGTAAAAATAAAAAAAAGAACATACTGATCAAAGAAGCAACCGAAGACCATTTTGCTGTAGTATTTTTATATAACTACTAAATCTTGTGCTATCAAGGAAACCATTTTGGTACTGAATACCTAAAGAAAAAATTTTAATATAAAAAATAATAATTAATACCATTTTCTCTACACAGCTGCCATTTGTCACGTTGCAACGGCCTCCACCTGAAATTTTAACCTACAACGAATAGTTTGGCAAATGATGCAATTGTAGATGTCAGAATATTCCGCGGATCGTCATATTGAAAGAAAGCAGATTGCATTCACTATATTTGATTTTATTAAAAAAATAACAACATTAATAACAATGTTTCGAAAAATAAATTAGCAAGAGTTCGCATAAAAAATGTGCCAGAAACACAGACAATTGCAAGTTTAATTTGGGAATGATCTTCTTCTAACTTATTTCGCATGACTTTGATGTCCAGGATAATAGAATTGAAAAGACTCCATGGAGATTCAAGAGCCAGTTAGTTACCATTTCTAGATAATAACATTAACATATCTTTCTGAAATGTATCATGTTGGAAGCATTTCATGCAGCATGTTCAATACACTTTCTAATAATAACCCTGATATTCAACATGCATCTATTTACACGGTGTAAGCATGGATATATAGTACAAATTAAAGACAAGTATAATACGACATATCAGGATTAAGCTAGCTTTTACATCCTCGTGCACTGAATAGCATTAACTTACAAGGGATGGTAGTAGAAAATGTAATAAAACAGAATTCAAAAGGCTCCCGTTGCTTTACACAATTGTGAGAAGTAAACATAACTGAAAATTTTTACCAGGTTGTACTAATAATATAGGCTTACCATATTATTAATATATCAAAATCCAAGAAACTGTGATCATACTTGCGTGAGGAAGAGCACAGTAAGAGTCATATGGATGTTCCAATAATCCTCAACTTTATGAGAACCATTAGACGATTGTTTTTTCCATAAAAGATGGTTGAAAAATCCTTGTTGCAAGTTATGATTGACTCTAGGACAAGAAGGCTAAAACGAGGCATGTCAACAGAACAAACAGCACTCTCTGGGTTGGCTCTACGAAATGTACATGAAGCACGTAAACAAGTTACATTGATTCAGAAGGGCATTTTTTCTTGCACAGTGTTGGAAGTTCTAGGTCGTAGAGAAATAGTGTAATAAGTTGAGGGTGTTTTTGGAAAATTGTCTAGGGTTTCTCCCTATCTTAAGGGGTGTAATAGTTGAATGGAATTGAGGTGGTTTCTGCCGTTATCCCCTCTATCCTCCGTGACAGAGGTTTCTCTCAGTTTTCTACACAGAGCATTTCAATAATGATGGAAATCAACCAAGTGATCATCTTATGACAGAGAATAAGAAAATTGTAAAAAATAAATATCACGATAGGTCAAATGCATTGCAATAAAGATGTAGGAATTTAAAAGAAAATGTAAATGCATCTCATAATCAGGCATATTACCACAACCGAACTAGTTCAAATTTAAAAGAGGATGTGAAACATATAACTTACCTTGGATAAAGGCTTTCCCTTCTCGATAACAAGAACGTCCAGAGAGGGAGCAACATGTTTTGATCTAATTGCAGCATATACTCCAGCAGCACCACCTCCAACAATAACCAACAGTTGCTCACTCGTCTGTTAAAGACCATATATTTTTTCAGGAAAGAAGATAATCAGAACATTATAACAAAAAGTAGCAACAACTATTCTAAACAGAAAAACTAGAGCGCAACTCATTCCTACCCATCAAGCGGGCTCCTCTTTTCATTCATTAGTTTATTAGAATTTAAGACGATTGGTTGCCAATATTAAACATTTTAATAATTTTAGAATGTTCGCCCACAAACAAAACGTATGATTTAAGATATATTTCTGTAAATGCAAGAAATTTTGCAATTTTCACTGTGTCTTTGTAAGGAGTGGAAGACCAGAATCCAATTGATTAAAAGGTAAAGGGTAAAAAATGCAAACCACAGAGCGGCAAAGCAGATCTTTTTGTGTAATAATAGCTGATCCTCGGATCCGCCAAGATGGGGAATCAGAAGAGGCAATTTTCAGCTTATCTGATACCATTGCAGAAAATCCAGCCAATCGCAGATTTAGTGCAGATATTACTCTCTTTGGTACGAACCAATGTAATCACTCATGAATATGATGTTAATGGGGAGATACTTCACGCGAGGATGATAAATATGCCATGAAATAATTTTCTATCTCCTGCTTGACTTTATCCAATAATGAAACCACAAAATGGTGGCAGAAACAACTTCCAACAGAGACATACTACATCACTCTTACTGGAGCTGAACGATATCTCCAAATTAAGTAATAGAATCCTATTCAGACTAGTGAGTAAACTTCAAACTACATTGATGACCCACATCTTACTGATATCTAGCCGATGGCTTTCTTGAGCACCAAAAGAAGACAAAGCTCTCTTTGATGTTATGCCCGTACTTTTTAAGCTAGTCATATGAGTGTAGGCACTTAGCAGGAACACATTAGGGAAAAAATAATTTCTGATAATTGAAATGAAAGAAATTAACATAGGACAAATGAATTTTCTGCCGTCTGCACCATGCCTCGAGCCCCAAAGAACAGAAGTCTTTTGATGGTAGATGCCGTGAATGCAGCATCATCCTCAATTTCATTCTTGCCCTTGGGTCTGGACATTAGTCACATCGGAAGTTCTAGGCTACAGATGAATCCTTTACACCTATATCACCTACAAACAAACATGAACTTCTTCTCCTATAACAGTTATTCTTCGTAGACACATTATAATTCTTTGCAATTATTGAGGGAGGAAAGCAGCGACTTGAGACCTCAGGATTTGTTGAATAAATTCATACAGGTACATTGATCCTTATCTTCTTCATCTATTCAATATGTCTACATACATCTTCACTGGAAGGTTCCCTTCACAAAGTGATTTTACCAGGTGTTCTCAGTTACAAAAGTATCCTACGTGAAGATTCCCACTACTACCTCTTAACGAAAAATATACACCAAAATGAGAGTCATCCATCTCAGTCCAATGAACTCGACCCTCAAGCATCGGAAAAAAAAATTCCAGCAAAAAATTCAATATATTATATTCTCCTTACTGAGCTAGGAAATTCAAGCTATAATATTGGTGGAGGTGTGTCAATAATCATGAAGCTTGGAAGAGATTGTAAGGACAATTAAACAAGGGCGTATGCCCCAGAAATTGCAATCGCTTTACAACTTTGACTTTACATCATGTTCTAGTTTGGAGTTTCTTTCATCATAGTCTCGTCTTTATTCAACTAGCACAGTATGATAAGTGACCAACAGTTACGGGGAATTCTATCGCTTCATTATTAGAGAAAATCAGGCCGCCTCCACACCCTTTTTTGGTCATTTCCGCCGCTTATACACCAGGATCCACTCGGTCATTGAGAATAAATTAGAACTCACTCTTCTCTTTGCTTAGTTACTCAACAATGAAGGATAGACGACATTGAGAAGTAAAGGGGCCATCCTTACCCGACGAACGCAATCTTTGCTCGAGAAGCACCTTATACTTCCACCGCCACCGCCCCCAAGACGATGACTGTGGTGCCGACGGAGATGCCCGCCGCAGCTTCTCCTCCACCAGCCTGCGGAGCCCAAGGACGTTCCGAAATGGAGGCCAATGCTGGACGCGGCCGTGCTCCTCATTCATTCGGCTCCTCGCCCCTTCCAGCCGCCGGTAGCAGACGGTGCCCCTCGTTCGACGGCGGTAAGCCCCAGCGCCGCCGCTCTGCACTGAACCGTGTCTAACGGGACCTCCAACAAAACCGTTGTGGCAGCGATGACGTTTGTCGCTTAAGCTCCAAAAGTTTTGTTCAGAAATTCCCACAAAATCATACAATATCAAAAAACCCTCCCTCTATCTACCTAATTCCGGAATGTCCATTAAGTCCTTCGACTTAGTCACGACCACGTCCCCAATCGTGACTTAGTCACGACCAAGTCCCCAATCGTGACTTAGTCACGACCAAGTCCCCAATCGTGACTTTGTCACGACCAAGTCCCCAATCGTGACTTAGTCGCGACAATATTATTATTACCCTTAATATTTTCCAAAATTTGAAAAATTACATTTCCTGTTTGATAAGGCCCACAAATACATTAAATATCGTCCATCTATCCGCGTTCGGATTGGTCCCTCCTCCGCCCACCCCCAAAATGTTATTATTTTACCCTTAATGTTTTAAAAAATTAGAAAAATACGCTTTCTTTTGACCCGCCGCAGTTGATGACCAGTCTGTCGCCTCTACACACACGCAGTTTCTCTCTCCGACGTGGAATTTACTTTACCTCATTTTTAGTCATTTTCAATACCAAGTCAACCTGTCCGCTTCTGTAGAATAGTCAAAGTCAACCTCCTCCCCTCTTTCCTACTGCCCGGTGTCTCGTCTCTTCCCCCCCCCAATCATCTGTTCTTCCTCTCGATCCCCCTCCACAGCTTCGGCATCGGAGATTCCTCAACGGACGCTTCGTCTTCCTCCGGTCGACCTCCCCCTGAGGTCTCCAGATCGGAGATCCCTCCGTCGTCCAGCATTCTTCGACCGGTCAACGTCCACCGGCGGCGAGGTTTCCCCCTCTTTCTCTTCCCCTCTCTTCCTCTCTCCAGATCCGCCGCCGTCGCCGGGAGAATGGATCTGTTCAGGTATGGCGAGACGGTGAAGCTGCGGAGCTGGCACGGGTTGTACCTGACGGCGGCGGAGGACGGGAAATCGGTGACCCAGGAGAAGGATGTCAAGCAGCGCTCCGTCTGGACTGTCGAGTTCGTGGAGCACGGCGGCCGCTCCGCCATCCGCCTCAAGAGTAGTAGTCGCGGCAGCTACCTCGCCGCCTCCAACGAGCCCTTCCTCCTCGGCTGGACGGGCCGCAAGGTGCTGCTGACACCCCAAGATCGCCGGCCGGACTCGTCGGTGGTGTGGTTCCCCCTCCGCTCCGACAGGAAAGTGGCCCTCGAGACCCCGTACGGTCGTTCCCTTCGCGCCAATTTCAGCCTCCCTCCATGGAGCAGCTCCGTCACCCACGACCAACCCCAGCTAGGCTTCTCCCGGGACTGGATCCTCTGGGATGTCGAGGTGGTGGATCCAGCAGATCCCACGACCCCCTTGTTGAGCCCTGATGACAGCACCATAGAAACCTCAGTTCATCCGTCCCACGGATCTTCTTCTTCTTCCTCAGATGGTTCCCGGCCGCAGCCGACTCCCCGCGAGAGAACCGTAGCCTACAGCGTAGTAGACAACCTCAACGAGAAAGACGTCTGCGTCTCTGAGATTCAATTCAAGGGCAAGAGCTTGGAGGAGCTAACGGCCGCTCTGAGAGCGGCGGCGGCGGCCCCAGACGCTGTCATCTGCTCCCGGCATCCCACGAACGGCAAGCTGTATCCCCTACGCCTGCGGCTCGCACCGGGGGACCAGAAGGTGGAGGTCGTATTGGTCAGGGCCTCGCCTACAGGTTAGCCCTTCTTTCCTTCGATGAAATGACTCAACCCAAGCTATCTGAAGTCTACTTTGCTGTGGACTTCTTTCTCGCCAACAAGAGGAAGTATCCTGTGGCTTCCATAAAAAAAACATTGGTAAATTTCTTCTGGAAATATTTTTTAAAAAGTCAAAGACTTAAATCAAGTCAACTTCCACTTAGAATCCCAGTTTGACCAGCCATCCAAATCCCCCAAAGTGTGTAGATATTAATAAATATATTTTAGAAAAATAAAAAATGCCCCGATATAGAAATGGCATGGAATGGTCAAAATTGACCCCACTATTAATAATCTGCCACGTCAAGTCAACGGGTGATAAGTCAAAACTGACCTACTTTAAGCATGTTTGACCCCTTTTTTCTATGGCCTCTTTTGTTGAATGACCTCTCCTACATTACAATGGCAAGGGATCTCATGCTCTGAGGGGCTTCCTCATTGTGGGCTCTTGTGAACCACCACCACCCTGTTGAACTGGTTGAGTTTCCTTGTTTACTTTGTCTGTATTCCTTTCCTTCTTTAGCAATCTAAATAAGTCATTGATTGAGCTAGAAACAGATGACGATCTTTTGGTATTCTAGTTCCATGTGTAGCTTAATGTATTTGTTCAATTTACCATTAGCAACAACTTAACATATACAATATTTTTGCCACAATTTAAATTTTTTATGTTATTTGAATATATTTAAGTTACGCTAATTTATTTATTTTAAAAATAATAAGATATCACTAGATATTCAGCTCCTCATAAAAAATTTATCCCATGAAAAAAGGAGTTAGTATTAATGGAAATTATGCACATATAGAGCTCTGCTCAATTCACCATTAATAAGTCTATGTCATTGGAAAATAATTAATTAAAGGTATTTATTTTAATATATATATATATATTAATAATATATCACCATATATACATAATTAGTTTGCCTATTCAATGTCACTATATACAAAGACAGTTTACAAGAACATGGTACACCGTGCTATTAGAGCAAACTTGGGTACAAACCAAGACCCTGTTCTTAATCTGATTTAGTGACCTTCTACCCACTTTCATGTTTGTCCTATTTTTTTTGTAAATAATAATAAAAATATTATAATATTCGTATACAAAATTCATTTTATTTAGAAGCGTATAGATGTATGCGGAAAGTTAGAATCAGAGAAGAGTTTAGAAAACGCTAATATACATATAAACGCGCACAAATGCGGCTCTATATACGATATATATACATATTATCACATCATATATACACATATACAGTATTCATGCATGCATATATATACATATATATGCAGACCACAGATTATAAATACAGATACATACGTATGATGAAGAGGGCGCCATTTTCGAGGGGTAGAAACGCCGATCAAGCCTTTGCGGTTAGATTTCCCAGAGAATTAGGGTTGCTGTTGCGCCCCTCCCCCCGAGTACCGTCGCATTGAATCTGATTCATTGAAGGCACTCAGCGCGGCGATAATTGTAGTTAAATTGATAGTTTCCAGGATCGATCCAGTTGCCCTCGTCACGGCGGCAGACTGTGACAACTCTCTACGTAGGTAATGACCAGGCGGGGTGGGGGGCATCGGGAACTGGCCGCGTTGAAAACCCTTAATTGTTAAAGGGGGCGGAGGGAAAGAGGAGTCTCGGCCGTGCCGAGTCGACTGGAGGATCGCAGGTTCGGTTGGGGGAGGGAGAGTCTGCGGCAACTGAACCAGGGAGGTAAGTACGCCCACACACCTTCTCTACACGGTTGTTGGCCCCCGCGTTTTCCATTTCGCACTTCATACAACTGTCGTAGCGACGAGGATGGCAGTGATGACAGCGGGCGACGGTGCTATACATCGATTCCCTCTCCACTGCGGAAGGGTCTTTGTGCTCGTAGCGGTCTCTATGTTTGAAGGATATGGGTTATTTTCTCCGCGTCTCGGGGGAGAGGAGACACGGCTTCGTGCTTTTTGTGGGAGTAGGGAGCGTGCGTGTTGCCTTGGCTTTGGGCCTGTATTCGGCGGATTGCGGGTAGGCGTGTGTTGTGCCCAGTTCGGAGGATGGAGGAAGAGGGTAGAGGGTCGTTGAGGCGGAAAGTTGGTTCTACGAAAGTGAGAGAAAATGGTTGATTTTGGTGAGACTCAGACTTTTACGTTCTCCTTGGTAGGTCGTCCCTTAGTTCAGGGCCAGTAGATTTCGGATTTTTCTCGCCCGGCACATTTAGAGCTGAGTCCAAAACCGTCCTCTGTGGTCGGTACATGCCTTTTCGCGTTATTATGTCTCGAGGTATCATGGATGTCTGTCTGTAATAATATATTTTTTTCATGCCTCTAGTGTGGGGTTTTCTGCATGCCTAAAGTTTTGAACAATGAATCTTCTGTGAATGCATCTGAATCTGGTTGGAAATTTTCTTTTTAGAGGGTCTATTTTCTCTGACAATATAATTTCACTTGTCTGTGTCCTGGATTAAATTTTAGTGATGGCGATTTTGTCGATTTCTTGTTGAATACTAAACATGCAGAAATTTAGTAGGTTAACGATTTAGTTTGCAGAAATTTATTAGGTTAACGATGAACTATAGTTTGCGTTCGTGTTCTTTGTGTCAAACAGTAGTATCATGAACACTTTCTGATGTATCAGGTATTATCTACCCGCATTCATACTTAACGTACGAATGAAAGCTGTCCATATTTGTTGGAATCTTGTGATAGTATCTGGGGCCTTATACATGGCAAGTCTTTCAGAGTTGCTTGGTTTAAACAGAAGCTTTGTTTCAGTAGTGGACCCACTACCGAAACATTAATGAAATTATTTAAAACATTAATGGTATAAAGCTTGGTTTAGATCATTAATGTAATATTTTAACTGAAATTTTCCGTCTTTTTTTTTAATTGACCTTATCCTGGTTGTAAGATTGGATCAGTATGAGTGAAGTTCCCTTTTGAATCAAGTAATACATATAGAGCTTGTATTTATGCCATTTTAGACCAAGTTTGCCTCCCCATGCTGGGAGTAGGTTGACTGATCTGATTCTGCAGTGAATCGGCTAACAGACATAGTTATTAGCCTAAACTAGTTGGGACTCTGGGCTTATCGTCCAAGTCTTTGAGATTCAGTTCAAGGGCCAACTTGAACCTTGCCAAGAAAGCTTGATCTGTGTCCTTGCTGGTCACGGAAGAAAGCATGAGATTGCTGCCACCATTAGACACTGGTGTGCCGCTGTGTCCCCTGCTGTCTCATTTACATCGAAGAAAAAGAGCAAGATTGCCTGCAACTACTGCACTGTTTTTGTGCCACTTGCTTTATGCTCCCATTGCCTGATTTCTTGATGAGGGTGACTTGAATTGGGAATTTGTTTGGATGAAAGGAATGGCTGTCTGTGACCGGATTTTAATGATGGTTATGTAGAATCTTATTTTTCTTGTCAATGTATCCCTGTTTCATTTTAAAATATTTACTCTCCGTTTACATGTGTTTATTAAAAAACTATTGGAAGAGTTAATCTGAATCATGTGACTCACTGTGGGATGAATTCTATTTGATCCAACTCGTGTTTTGGTTTTACTTAGTCGGATGAGTCAGTAACCCTAGCTCCACTATGCTTTGAAAAATGACTAAAAGTGGTGTGCAAGCATGACGTCTGTAACTTTGCACGAGTTATGTTTAATGCACAATCTGTAGGAAAAAGATTGGAGAGGCTGATGTCAGAAGGGTTGTGTTCAAGTTAACAAGATCTGTTTCACTTTGTTGGGAGGACAAGAGAAGAGGATTCTGCAAATTCTTTCCAGTGTAGTGTTTTGAGTATGATCAAGGTTCTTCCGTGCAGCATATCTGTGCATGAAAGTTTATATCTATGCTATCTCAGAAAAAACCTATCTGTGTCAAGAGCAGTAGCAAAGAAAGTGAAAATAAATTTCTTCCTTAACCCTGTGCGTCCGAAACCTGATTCACTGCTCTCAAGAATGGTGGAGATCTGCATGTGGGAAATATTGTAGTTTGGATTAAACTCTTTGAGAGATTTGATTGGGTTTTATTGGATTATACTTGAAATTCAAATGTCAAGTATAGTTAGGGTGGAAGGGAAAAAAATGATATATGAGATTCGCACCATGTTGGTTGGCATTTGTAACTGGGTGCGCATGCACAATTTTCTGAAAATTTTCTTTTATCCCTTACATATTTATTTGAAGTATGCATTTTGGGGCATTTCGATTCGTGTTAGAACATTTTATTGTACATATCGCATATTCTGATTTGTCTGTGTTTCTAATTTTTGAATCCATGTACCTTAAGTTTTCTTATCATAATAAAAGCAGGTTATATTATTTACTCAAGTGTTTACTGTTAATATATATCCTCACCCTAAAAAAAACCCATTGATGATATTTCCCTTTTGTGCATTGATTATGGTCCACTTTAGTGATGAGCTCGAGTATGGATCTAACTTTTGACAGAATTCAGATGCAGAGAAAAGGGTAATGGAGGTACTACCATGCCCAGAACTACAATGTGCTGGAGAATCCAATTGTCCTCCGCTAAGTCCTGAATCAAAACAAGCAGGGCATGGTGTTGAAGAAAAACCAAATTTTATGCACGTTGATTGCTTTCAAGAAAGATCAGCAGATGGGCTCACAGTTGTTAGCACTGCGAGAAGCGAAAGTGTATTGGAAGTTCATAATACTACCCCATTATCTGTAAGCAATCAGTTGGAAGGAAAAAGTGGGTCAGTCAATGGTCTTCAGGTGATGGGTGCTGTAAAAAGACCAAGAATTGAACAATCGGATGGCACACCCCATGATGCTGAAAGTGTACAGATATTAGGTTGTCCCCTACAACTAGAAAGAGACCAGATATTGAACGGTGACCCAGAATTAAAAGCTAGCTTTCCTAGGGCTGACTCTTGTCAGATTAAGGAATGCAATATACTGAATAATAGATGTCATGAATGCAATCCCTTCAATGCGGGAGTAAGTCTGAAAGAAGAATCGGACCGGTTGAGAAGCAAAGAATTTCGACATTTGGTGGCCAGCGTACAATGTAAAGGAGAACACGTTGTGGAGCAACTAAAGAAAGTGAGCGACAACTTTAGAAGTGAAACAGGTGCTCAACAAAACCAAACGCAAGAAAACAAACGAATGACAAATGATCTCTTCCCTGCAGATCCCGTTGTTGGTTCTTCAGGTTTACCACAGAATAATGGTTCAAGTAATCTTCACGGCCTATCTAACCATGCACCGACTTTTGGTTCTGAATTAATCAATCTCTCTCTGGGAGACCAAGTTATGGAAGAGACTGCTGCACAAGGCCAATCAAATGAGCCGGATGATCCTGAGGCACTTTGGGTGAAGGTTTGTCTTTATTTCTCTATTTTTCATAAACAATTTTTTTGATTCGGGATTGGAAGGTAGCAAATGTACCTTTATATGACGGGAACTCAGTTGTGCTTGTGTACTTTTCATGACCTTCTTAAAGACACGAATTTTTAATTTAAATGGTCAATCTGCTTTACGAAAATATTAAATAAAAATTATTAAAATATTGCGTTCAACTGGAGGCATGGCTGTTCTTGAACAGCTACACGTTTGTGCAAATGTGAGAAACCTTATTCAAATGGCTGCTCCCTGCAGCTGCATATCTCTGGTGGTCTGAATATCTTAGGCATCCTACTAGCCCTGCCACACAAGCAACCCTTCAAATTGTTTAGATGAGGTAGATCCTCCAATTTTTCAATAATGTTTTGGGGCATACACTATGGGATGGTGGGCATTAGGCCGCACAACCTGAAGAGCAAGAGCAGAAAACAGTTAAAATGAAGTTGACACAAATTATTCAAGAGTGTAACAGGGTAGTAATAGAAATATCTTTACTTTTCATCATATTCCTAATAGCTGAAAAAAAAATCCTGTCAAAAAGAATTAATATTGCTCTACATCTGATATGTGATTTGAGCTTTGAAAGAATTCGCTAGAGAAACTGGGGGTCGTACCTTCTTCGTCTTTCTTTTCTTCATGAAATTAAATTTCACGCCTTCATGTGAAGAATAACGCTTCAGTTGTTATTAAATACAAAAAATAAAAGAGAAGCTGACGCAAATTTGGCAAAGCAACGAATTCTACAATCACACTTTGATGTGTCATGTGATAGGTTAATTATTATCAATTGCAATTAAGGTGACATGAAATTAAGGAAGAATATATTTGCATTTGTGAAAAAGGTTCTTTTTCCTTTTAATCATAGAACCTAAAACACCTTAAAAAATATTTCTTCTTTATGGTGTGAATGAATATTAACCTATTTCTGCCACAAAATTTCACCTTTCTCAAAGGAATTCATTAGAGAAACCTGGAATGAGGATTCCTCGATTTTTTTATGGTTGAAAGTGAGACTAAAACGTGCTCAGATGCTGTGCATATTGATACTGAAATCATATTAGATTTCTTCTTTTTTATATATTTTTTTCAAAACTTAGTGATTTGCATCCTTTATCACTATGTAATGACGTGGTCTCTGGCAACTAACTGCCTTTTAAAGACTCAGGGGGGACATGTTAACTTTTTCAAGATTATGATCCTGAATTTCTTCCCTCTTCTCAAGTGTAGTGGAGAGGAAAATGGCAGACAGGCATCCGTTGTCCAAGGGCTGATCATCCTCTGTCAACTTTGAAGGCAAAGCCTACACATGGGAGGAAGAAATATGTTGTAGTATTTTTTCCAAACACAAGGACCTATTCATGGGTGGATACACAACTTATCCGTTCCATTGATGAGTTACCAGTACCTCTTGCTTGTGGTACTCATTACACATGGATGGCATTCGTCAAAGACTTGACGTTTCAACGTCGCTATGTCATGCAAAAGTTAGCTGTTCTAATGTTAGACATTAGTGACCAGCTCCACACACAGGTATGGAGCTCTCTAAGGTTGTTTCTTTTATTGGGAACATTTCCTTCCATCTCATTTCTTGATGTTGTCTATACTTTCATTTATTAGGCTGTCATTGAAAGTGCACGCAGAGCCTCGACCTGGAAAGAATTCGCTGAGGAGGCTTCCTTATGCAGGGAATATTTTGAGCTCGGGATGATGCTTTTGAAGCTTCATAAAGTATGTCTTGGGTCATTGTCTGAAAGCTTTCATGTTCATGTTTCAGAATTTTTGATATATTTTCAAATTTTAATTAACATCGAGGCTTGTATTTTCTTAGGTACTATTTTTGTGATTCAGTTAGAAAAAAAAAGAGTTTTCTAACCAACCAGTGAAATTAAGGGAAGTAACCAGTATACGCTGTAGATAGTTCAGATTAGATTAAATGAGGTTAAAAAGTCAAATACTGCCGTGATTTGGCAGTACTCATTGACCAGCATTCAGACTTAGACCTTTGATTGTGCTAACTTATTGTCAGAGAAAGAATGCGAAAAGTTCAATGGTTAATTGGAAAATGTCATCAATTTATTTCTCTTTAAATTTATATTTTTTGTATTGTAGATGGTAAAAAAAACTGAGCTACATGAAGATCGAATTGAGAGAGAGTGTTTCTTCGTTTGTATTTGTCTTCCCCCAAATTCCAACTAGTCATATTAGACGCAATGGCATCCAAAGGCGTTTCGTTGCATCATAAATAGTGATGTGTATCACATGAAGTCCAATTATATTATGCCAACTGAGACTAAACTTCTAGTATCAACCAGAATCTTTTGGCTTTTCTTCGAACAGTTACTTTCCAGTTTCTTGGGGGTATCCGTCTCAAACCCCGCAGCCTTTTTGGACTTGTAAACGGTTAATACTTAGGGAGTAATCTGTTAACTGAACCGTCTAGAGAGTCCCGCCTTCTCGTATTTTCTCGTGCAAATCGGTGCAGATTCCCCGAAGATTCAGGGACGAGTTAATTACTGTGTTTTATGCTTGTGGATGTAGAAATGAATTTTAGCTCTGGTCTACTGGTGTTGTAAACTGTGACGTATCCATACTATCCAAGCTTGATTAGACTATTGACTCATCTGCTTTTGGGGTCTGAGAGTAAGTTTACTAGGCTGTTTTCAATGGTTTTGGGATATTGTTTTATAGAATGGGATTATGTATTCCGTAACTTGACTTCAATTTCCTCTCTTTTGGTGTTTCACTTGTCTTCAATTCATCTTCAGTTATTATTTAATATTTCTTTTTTTATTGTTGCTCAGCTTTTGTTGCTTCCCTTTCTAAAACAAGTGTAACTCCTTTTACATGCAGATGATTCTGCCCGAGTACATCAAATCCAACTGGCTAGAGCATTCGTATAACTCATGGGTGACGAGATGTGAACAGGCGCAGAGTGCAGAAACTATTGAATTACTTACGGAGGTATTTAAATCATTAAAAAAAATTGTTCTGTTTGTGGAAATTTTCTGGACTTGGTGGAATGTGACATTTGGAAGCTCTATATATTTCTAAAATACTTTATGCAGTTTCCACCTTCTACTTATCGTTTTCATGATATTTCTTGCTGTTTATAGTCTCTTAGTAGATTACTCTGGGGGTGCACCAATACATTTATTTTCCGTACGGAAATTGAATCGGAGGTGTCGGTTCAGTTTGAAATCATGATTTGAAAAATATGTGCGGTTACCCTTATTCCATATGGTCTGTATAGTCATCCTTTGTGCAGCCCTCTGAGAATCCCACGGTGGTTAAAAACTCTCTGTAATTCCTCGGTTCTCTTTGCTTGGATATCCATAGCATCAAATCAGATGTTCTGGATGATCTATCTCTCGGATAATTCTGGAGACCAGGGTAAGACAGGAGGTTTAGGGAATGGGATTCGAGAAGTGTCTACAGTTAAATTAGATGGAGAAGTGGGACAGGATAGAATGCAGATCATTGTGGAGAAAGTATGTATAATAATTGGACATCCAATGGAAATTAAGCTATTTCTATGGCAGGGGATACTCAAGAGATGCTCATAATAGGCAGAACAGGTAATGCAAAGGTTGCACAGTCTCAGGCTAATGTGAGGATGCTGATTTAGTGGGCTATGATTAGGATTTTATTTATGCTTTACGTGCAGACCTTGGTTCCTTTTTGAACGTGTAGTCTATCCTGCTTATGTTGTTAGCCATTGGCTGTAGAACAGTATGTTATTATAACTTTAGGTTCACTTCATGAAAAATTCATGTTATTTCTACCTAAAAGGTTATCACGAACTTAATGCGAAGCCACAATGCCCTTTGGAAATCAAATAGATGTAATTATTGATTGTTGGCTGCGCGACCATCGGATTGGTTTGTGAAGGAAGATTTATCATAAATGATTCTTATGTCTGTATTTTCACAATCGCTCTGCCATGTCTCGTGCTATCTGGATAGAGTGGGTGAAATCAGTGTTGACAATGGCAATGAAGAAAACTAGAAAATTAAAGTGCTCGTTCGAAATACTTTGTTTAAACATTATAAGCTGGAAAGGCAAAAAATGTCCACAATGAAGAGACAGACTCTTGTTGCCTGCCACTGTTAGTGTATATATGCAGAAAAATATATATATTTTTCCTATTTAATATTTTTTTGTGATCAGCTTTTTTCAACCTGGATTAAGTTAATCTTTTAGTTTTGGTGACATTTTTCCATTTATTTGTGGATCAACTATCTGCCTATTTAATGTATCATCATTTTCTACTGGACTATGATCAATATTTTCTGTTTAATTGTTGATTTCTTCAAGCTTTCACATTCGACACTGAAAAATCACTTTCTTCGAGAATCCTGTTTACAGGGTGGGCTTGTATCTATCCCTATTTTCGAATGAAATCTTTTTCTCTAACTGATAGCTAGATCTAAAAATGGGTTATTTCATTTCTCGTCACATTAAATCTTCATTTGAATTTAGGGAAGTATTTTTTTCTGTGCTGATGGTCTGATTCCTATTTTTTGTTGTGCAATTTCAAACTATGATCTTTCTTTTGCTAATTCAACTTTCTTTCTTTGACATAGGAATTGGTTGACTCGGTGTTATGGACTAACGTCGATAAGCTCTGGGATGCACCTGTGCAGCCTGAACTAGGCACTGAATGGAGAACATGGAAACAAGAAGTTATGAAGATATTCTTCACATCACTTTCTGGAGCCAGTTGTTCTATTGAGAAGTTGAGTTATGACTTTCCTTCAAATACAGGAGTCCATTTCAGCAGGAAACGCCCCAAGCTGGAAGTTCGAACGTTAGATGTTTATCCTAATGAAGCAGATGCTACGGCTCCCTTGGCTTATCCTTCAGACAACAGGAACCGTTTTGAGACCCCCATTGAAGGCGTAAAATCAAGTAATACGCAGACTCCAGATGCGGGCTCGTCAGCAAATGGCGATGACAAGATGGTTGTGGCAAATGATCACCCTGATAACGATTTTCCCAAGAAATACCGTCAATGTTTGGGTTTTGTTGAAGCCAAGGGAAGGCAGTGTGGTAGGTGGGCAAATGATGGTGAGATTTACTGCTGTGCCCATCTGAGCAGCATCTCTGTGGCCAAGGCATCTCAAGCAGAACTAACTCCTAAATTTAAAGCACCCATGCTTGAAGGCACATCTGCGGTTTCGAGTAGGATGGCTCTTGCCAATTATCAAGTTGATCAGGATTCTCTGAAGTACAGGCAATGTTTGGCATTTGTAGAGGCAAAGGGAAGACAATGTGGGAGATGGGCAAATGATGGTGATATTTACTGCTGTGTCCATCTAAACAACCATATTGTGAGCAAACCTTCTCAGGCGGACACAACTCCCCCATTTAAATCTTCCATGTGTGAAGGTATGACTACTCATGGTAAAAAATGTAAGCATCGAGCTCGATCAGGCTCTACATTTTGCAAAAAACATCAGGTTAGGAGAACTGATAATGGAATGATTTCTGGGAGCTCTTTAACTTCGTCTGAGAGTAATCTCAAGGGGAAGTATGGAATAGAGAAACTACCGACTACCTCTAGCTCATGTGCAGCCCAAGACAATGAAGATTCCTTGACTCGAGAAGCTGTACCTTCTATGGGAGAGAAATCGGTCCCTATTGCTTACGCTCTTGATGAAAGAAGATTTCCACAGAATCCATTGGAACCTAATGATGCATCATATTTTGGGCACTGCATTGGGCATGGTGATGCCCAGTGTCTAGAGGATGCAAGCAAGCATGCTTTATATTGTGAAAGGCATCTTCCTAACTTTCTCAAGCGCGCCAGAAATGGTAAGAGTCGATTAATATCTAAAGAAGTATTTGTCAATCTCTTAAAGGGCTGTGCATCAAGAAAGCAAAAGATCTATTTGCATCAAGCATGTGAACTTCTGTACAGTTTCATGAAAGGTAGTTTGTCCCATCAAAAATCCATTTCACAGGGGGATCACATGGGATGGATATTATCGGAGGCCTCCAAGGATCCGAACGTTGGAGGGTATTTATTGAAACTGGTTTCTTGTGAAAGAGAAAAAATTAGCCGGGTTTGTGGATTTGATGCAGTTAAGGATGAACAGGTGCATTCCTCCCTAATATATCCCACATCTGAAATGGAGGAACTTGAGAGGGACGGTGGTCCACAAAGTAACATAAAGTGTAAAATTTGTGCTGAGGGATTCTCTGATGATCAGATCCTTAGTGCCCACTGGATGGAAGCTCACAAGAAAGAAGCGCAGTGGCTGTTTAGAGGATATGCTTGTGCAGTTTGCAGGAGCTCATTCACCAACAGAAAAGTCCAGGAGGCCCATGTAAGAGAGAGACATGGAACCCAATTCCTTGAGGATTCTTTGCTTTTCCGCTGCATGGCCTGCAATAGCCTCTTCTCCAATGCTGGCAAGTTATGGCAGCATGTGCTATCGTGTCACTCAATGGAGTTCAGGCTTCCTGACTCTACGAAGCCTTCTCAGGAGAGAATTGGTTCTTCAAAGGTGGAGTCACATGGTGAATCTTGTTTGGGTAATGGCACCTCGAAGAATGAAGATGGATCCCAGAGATATGTTTGCAGATTCTGTGGGTTGAAATTTGATCTTCTACCGGATCTTGGTCGCCACCATCAATCAGCTCACATGAATTTGAGTTATGTTGGCCACTTCTCATCAAGAAAGAATAAACATATTAAATATGGCAGGCACCACCGTTCTAGATTCAACAAAGGTCTTGGACCCACGAGTGGGTTCAAATCGTCAGGAAGTTTGGGGATGAAGAAATGTGTCCAGTCTTCAAGCTCTGTGGTTTCCTCTAGGTTGAGGGAACAGGCACAGGCGTCAGAAGTACACCTTGGGAGGCTTTTGGAATCTGATTGCCGCAATGTTGCTGAGGCCTTGTTTACTGAGATGCAGAAAACCAAATCTCCGCCAAGTAATGTGGAGATTTTGTCAATTGCAAGGTCAACTTGCTGCAGAACAAATCTCCATTATGTTCTGAAGAAAAAATATGGGACGCTGCCCGAAAATCTCTATTTAAAGGCTGCCAAGCTTTGCAGTGAGGCGAACATTCCTGTAAATTGGCATCAAGAAGGTTTTACCTGTCCAAAAGGATGCAATTCTCCTGGTCAGCCCTACCGCCTCTCTCCTCTCATCCCTCTTGCCTGCAAGTCTGAGGCGGCGAATACCTCTACTTCGTATCCTGTGGATCATGGTATGTGGGCGATGGAGGAATGCCATTATGTCCTGAGTCCAAAGAATTTCAATCGTAGGCCTGCACGGAAAGCCATCATTTTGTGTGAAGACATAAGCTTTGGACTGGAATCAGTCCCTGTGCCATGTGTAGTTGATGAGAATATTATAAAGGAGCCACTTTCCACAAGTTCCAATGGATCATTGGATTGGCAAGCTCTAGGGATTTCTATGCCTTGGCAGGGGTTTTCATATGCCACCAAACGGTTGCTTGATCCAGCTCTTGGGCTTGATACCAAAGTAAGACTTTTAACTACTCATAGACCAATCAGCATGCATTTGGCGTTTGCTCATCTGGAAATATGTTCGCTCTTGTAAATGACAGGTTATGTTCTACGTTTTTACAGAGCTCACAGTTGGGATGTGCCTGCTCTGGAGCAAAATGTAGTCCTGAAACATGTGATCATGTCTATCTCTTTGACAATGATTATGAAAATGCCAAGGACATAGATGGTCACTCAATGCGTGGTCGCTTTCCATATGACGAAATGGGGCGAATTGTTGTGGAGGTAAGATGTGACATAGCGTCAATCTAGTCAAAATTCATTGAGTTCTAAATGTCAAGGACGTATTTTTTTGCATAAATTTAATCACTGTGTTTTACCTACTAGTTTCCATAAGATTTAGACGCTGGAAAACTATATCTTCTTATGAAAGGTAGAAATCGAAAATTTGTGAATCTCTACCCTATCCCCAAATAAATAAAGGAAAGAAGAACTGGATACCAGCAATTCTTGGGTGCAATGACTGAGAAAAAACGCAGCAGACTTCATCTATCAAGACAGCAGAAGTAGGCTAGTTTTACTGTCCTCTTCCTCCTCTGATGGTTGGGAGATGATGTGCTCTCTGATCTGTCCAATACGTTAAGGAGCTGCGTCTAGATTGACAGTGCTGACAATCTCATGGAATAAGTCTTTGGAATCTTCTCTAATTAATTTCCATGTTACAGTGTAGGGTAATACACCTACGAATAAACAAATGATCTCCAATCTCTTGCAGTTAGGGAAAATACATGGGATGTTTGAATGGAGGTGAATCTTCATGAGTTATTCGTTGAATGGAAGCCCAGCCACTTTCTTAAGATTGGGCTCCTTTAGACACACCTCATGCCACTCTTTTTGTGGCTGATCAATGCTTATTAAGAATCCCCTGTTGTCTATTACATAAATAAACCTATGATTATAAGGATGGACCTTAGGGTCGTCTCTTCCTCTCCATCACTATGTAACTCAAGAAACTGACAATTGAAAATTTTATCTATTGCCATGACTAAGATGGAGACCACTTAAGCGTTAGTTAGCCGTTTTCTTTTATTGATTCCCTGATGGCAGAATTGCGATTTGTGCAGGAAGGTTGCCTTATATATGAGTGCAACTCCAAGTGCAGCTGCGACAAAACCTGTCAGAATAGGATCCTACAGAATGGGGTCCAGGTCAAGTTGGAAGTATTCAGAACGGATAAGAAGGTTAAAAAAAGAAAAAGAAAAGAACACTCTTTTTATCTTAATTTATTATATTCATTCAAATATTTAATTTATTCTTTGTCTTCTCAACAGGGATGGGCAGTCAGAGCCACAGAAGCAATCTCTCGCGGTAGGTTCATTTGTGAGTATATCGGTGAAGTCTTGAACGATGTGGAGGCCACCCGCAGAGGAGAGAGGTACCCTAACCATATCTATAGATCTTCATATACTTTCACCTCTGTATTGGCTGCTCATGGGCCGAACATCATCCGTCTATATTGTCTGCTTAGAATAGTCCTGTATTGGTCATTGTAGAAATAAACATGTGATTATTGATTCACAGCTATAATTTATTGAGTTTGGTGGCCCAAGTAACTCCAACATGGTACCAGAGTTTATGAAATTAATTTGTGATAATGAACGTTAGGGCTACTACACTTCTTACTTAAATTAGGTTTTGAGTTTTGTTGACCCAAATGATTCCTACATGGTATCAGAGCCTGTTGGTTGCTCTTGGGGGGGCTTAATGTACCCCATTAATCTTGTCCACTAAGAATAGTCCCATATTTTTCTGTGATTATGAAAGTGGACCTTCTCCATTAGTAGCTTATTGGCTTTGAATTTGATGGCCCAACGGCTCTGGCAATCCCCTTCCTTGGCTGCTTCTCTTGGTGACCCCTCTCTCTCCCCTTTGATATTGCAGATACGACAGTGAGGGTTGCAGCTACCTATATGACATTGATGCCCACATTGACGACGACGATGGCCGGCTGTCCGAAGGGAAGATGCCTTATGTGATCGATGCTACCAAATGTGGGAACGTTGCCCGGTTCATCAATCACAGGTGCCTCTGCCCGCGATCATTTTTTTAAAATATTATATTAGTTCCAGAAGAAGCAACATTGTTTTGAAAAAATGTCCAAATCATGGATTCTGCTAGTACCGAAAGGGGAAATATTCTAATGAAGAATACAGTGATAATAGATTCAAACATTGTAATGAGAAATACCTAAATTCTGGTTTTGGCTCTTGCCGAAAGAAGCAGCATTCTAGTGGAAAATAACACAGATCATGTATTCAGCAAAAACCTAGTGGAAAAAATTGCAAATCATGGATTCAGCTGGTTTCCAAAGAATCAGCTAGTGGATTCTAGTGGATTCAGCTTGTACCAAAAGTAGCAACAATCTAACAGAAAGAATACCCTGATTATGGATTTCAGCTTGTATCAAAAGAAGCAGAAAATCTCATGGAAAAATACCCTAATTATGGATTTCAGCTAGTATCAAAAGAAGCAGCAAATCTCATGGAAAAATACCCAAATTATGGATTTCAGCTAGTATGAAAAGAAGCAGCAAATCTCATGGAAAAAATACCCTGATTATGGATTTCAGTTTGTATCAAAAGAAGCAACAATCTGACAGAAAAATACCCTAATTATGGATTTCAGCTAGTATGAAAAGAAGTAGCAAATCTCATGGAAAAAATACCCTGATTATGGATTTCAGTTTGTATCAAAAGAAGTAACAATCTGACAGAAAAAATACCCTAATTATGGATTTCAGCTAGTATCAAAAGAAGCAGCAAATCTCATGGAAAAAATACCCTGATTATGGATTTCAGTTTGTATCAAAAGAAGCAACAATCTGACAGAAAAAATACCCTAATTATGGATTTCAGCTAGTATCAAAAGAAGCAGCAAATCTCATGGAAAAAATACCCTGATTTTGGTTTCATCACTGGATTAATCGGTTCTTTCGTTTATGCTTACAGCTGTTCTCCGAATCTTGTGAATTATCAAGTTCTAGTGGAGAGCATGGACTGCCAGCTTGCTCACATCGGCCTTTACGCGGGTCGAGATGTAAGGGAGAAAAAACTATGGCTGATCACAGATCCTCATATCTAACCATGGGTGTTCTAATGCGGTGGTTTATGATTGTTCACAGATTCTGCCGGGGGAAGAGCTCTCATATGACTACCGGTACAAGCTGCTTCCAGGAGTCGGATGCCCCTGCCACTGCGGGGCCCCCAATTGCCGGGGCCGGCTGTATTGAACTGAGCTGAGCTCACAGTCATCTCACCTGCCGCCTCTCATCACGGCGGAACCCTAATCCATTGTTTTTTGGCTAACGGTGGCGATCTTCTGAGCCCATGAAAGAAGGGGGGGGGGGGGGGGGTTGTGTCTGCATGGCATGCTAGAAATAGTAAAAAGGTCTTTTTTATTTTTCTTTTCCAGTGACAGCAGGCCAGGCTAGGCCTTCATCAAGCCCGGGCGATCATCTTCTGTGGGCTCTCACATGTTGGGTGATCTGAATTGGCTGGTTAGGATGTTGAGAGCCTATGAAATCATGATTCATAAGCACTGATTAACCTGCTTCAAGTAGTAATTTCTCATTGTTCTTACGGTTGCCCTCACTGTAAGGTAGAGCGAGAGAGAGAGAGAGAGAGAGAGAAGATTTGGGGCTTCTAAGAGATACTCTACTAGTGTATGAACTTACATAGGATAAAGATCAAGTTGGGATTTTCTAACCTAATTATGGAATGAAAAATGAAGAAATATTAGGAAAAAAAAAGTCTGACAACCATCTTAAAATCAGATTTCATGTAAATGCATCCAAGTTAGCGGCTCATGTGATAATACCCTTTTGGGCTTTTTGGCAAAATCCCAGGTCCTCTAAGAATATTAAAAAAATAAAATATGAGACTAATTTTAATCAATAACCTTGTCTACTCCTTGGTAAGGTGAACTTTGATAAGGGTATACTCACCATTATTTAAAATGCAGGGGTATTTTACAGTTACAAAAAAAAAACAGTATTCACATCACAGTTTCCACACAGTCAAATCTTAAATAATAAAGGGTTAATTAGTAAAAAACACTCATTTTATAAATAAATAGGTGGGAGGGACGAGATAAACATTATTCATATTACAGTGTCCATACAATCAAATCCTACAGAGTAAGGGGTTAGATTAGTAAAAAAGACTCATTTTATAAGTAAATCGGGGGAATGGTGAGATAAACATTATTCACATCACAGTGTCCAGACAATCAAATCCTGTATAGTACAGGGTTATATTAGTAAAAAAACACTCCCTTTATATAAATTGGGGACTGACGCGAGAACAGTATTTCACATCACAGTGTCCATGAAATCATATCCTAAACAGTGAAGTGTTATTTTGTTAAAAAACTCTCTTTCTCTCTCTCACCGACTGGAGTGATCCCTGGGGTGAGGGGGGGATGGGGCCAACTAGGGAGGGGGCTCCACCGCAGGACGAGGGGATCTCCGCTCTTCTTCTCCGGCGCAGGTTACCTTCTCTCTGAAGGTTTCCTCGGGGTTGTGAGGGAATGTGAGCTGCGGAGTTGCGCCGCTGCCGCTGCTGGGGCGTAAATCCTTTTCCTGATCCGGGGTCGTCGGGGTGGAAAGGCGATGGATCCGCCGTCGCTGGTGTCCAAGGAGTCCCTGCCGGATCTGTGGGCGTTGCCGCAGGCCACGGCGGACTACGACGGCGGCGGCGGCGGCGGCGACGGGGGCGGCATGTTGTGGACGCGGTCGGCGACCGCCGGAGGGGTTCCCATGGGGCACAATTCTTTTTTCGCCGCGGTGGCCGGCCGCCAGGCTGCGGCGTCAGTCGAGGGATCGACGGTCACGGAGCAGAGCGTGATGACCCGCGGGGGGCGGAAGCGGAGGGACTCGGGACCGCCGCTTGTGGCGGCGTCTGAGGATGATTCCTCGAAGCTCATCTCCTCGTGCAGCGGCAATGAGCTGGTATGATCTGTCTGGATCATACTCCCCCTGTGCCTCCTCCGCTCTGATTTTTCTGGCTGCGTGTGTTGCATGATCTTATATCCTTTACAGTTTGATTATTGCCGCTCTGTTACCTTTTTTGGGGTTCATCATAAGATCTACGCAAGCTCATCGAGTTATCTCGGCCAAATTCTCGTAGAAATGATGCTCCGTGCGAAGATAGTGGGAGGAAAGGAAAGAACTAGACAACTTCTGCTTTGGGAGTCAATCCCTCCGGAAGTCCCACAAATCTTCGACAGTGAATTTTTTTTCCTGCTGACGACAGGGATTAGTGCCTGATTAATCCCACATAATTTGTTGCCCAAAATCTCTTTTACATTGATCCTGTACCGTTTCTATGATTTTTAGAGATTTGAGTTCATCGTTTGATTGTTCATGAGAAAACCCATCAGGCGAAAATAGTGGGTGAACTTCCAGGCTCTGCAGAATCTCATATGTTTCTGTTCAGGTGAGGTTGTAGAGTTAAATCATCCTCTGGTCTCAGGAGCCCAGCTCGATTCTTCTAAATTCATCCCAGGATCATATACTGTGAGTGTATTTTTCTTCTTTTTTCTTTTTTCATCAGAGGTCAATGAATTGTGTTCTCATTCTGTGCAGACAGAATCTGAAGCTAAACGCCTCAAAGCCGATGGCCAGAGAGAGGATGGCCATGGAGAAGAACCCAAGGCTGAGGCCGAAGTCAACTCTGGGGCCTGCCACAAGAGGGGAAACCAGGCCTCTCAGTCCTCCGTGGCTCCAAAGCAGGACTACATCCATGTCAGAGCAAGAAGAGGGCAAGCCACAGACAGCCACAGTCTTGCAGAACGAGTAAGCCCTCTTGCTGCTGGAGATTAATTTTCGATCCTCGGGGCAGAAATGCCTCATTAGCTGGTGTTAGTCGCGTATATCAACACACTGATGAATGCAGTAAATACGAACCAAGGACATCATCTCAAAGTTAGATCCAATGCGCGACTTTACAAGCGCCGCATTATTCCACTTTGTATTCGCTTAGAACAAGTTGGTGAGATCGCCATTTCGGAGGTCTTTATGCATGCCATGCTTCAGAATGGTCTCCAGAATCTTGCCAACTATTAGTATGCATGATGATTTGTGCCGGAATTAGCAATGGGCCATTTAAAGAATGGTTCTTGGGAGGATGGTTGCTCTCAGAATCCCACAATAACTTTGCTGTGATTATCATAGTTGTTAAAAATAGGTCAATGAGGCGATTGATTTCCTGACCGGAGTCTTCTTCTTTTGGTTGGGGGGGCAGGCCAGGAGAGAGAAGATCAGCGAGAGGATGAAGATTCTTCAGGATCTGGTCCCCGGCTGCAACAAGGTTCAGATCCATCCGTTTATGCTTTCTTGATTCTACAGAGAGAGAGAGAGAGAGAGAGAGAGAGAGAGAGAGAGATGCGGAGATAATTCGAATCTGAAAGGCCCAGCGGGCAGGCTGAAGATGTTCTTGAAGCGTCTTCTCATGCAGGATTTTTAATGGCCAGGTGATCGGGAAAGCATTGGTGCTTGATGAGATAATTAATTACATCCAGTCTCTACAGCACCAGGTTGAGGTACGCCTCTGTCTGTCTCTCTCTCTATAGGTTTCCTGCTTAGCCCACAATGCTCTCAAAGAGGCCAACGGCGGCCCCATAATGGGTCTGAACGGCCCAGTATCATAAAACGTCAAAGGCATCCTACATGGGCCACAGCCCATCAGGATCTCTCTCTCTCTCTCTCTCTCTCTCTCTCTAACGTACCTGCTTAGCCCACTACCCTTGCAGTTCCTGTCGATGAAGCTTGAAGCGCTCAGTGCTCCCACGAGTCACTCCATGGAAGGATTTCCAGAAGATGTAAGACATTAAGATTAAATTTTTTAGATCAACTGGATAAAGCTCGATGATATATACATTAAACTCGCCGAATTTAAAAACTCTATCTGGGTTTTTATTATTGATATATATATTTTTAATGGTTCTGACGACGATCTGGGTTGGTGCCGTCCAGGCATTTGACACCACCTCTCGGCTGGCCTTCAACAACCACCCACCGCCACCAAGGGAATACGGCCAGGGATCGTCTGAGTGGCTCCACATGCAGGTTGGACCTGGCTTCAAAAGGGCTGCCGGATCATGAAGTCTGGGACCCCCCTTTCTCTCTCTTCTCTCTCTCTCTCCTCTGCAGGCTACTCTTTTCATCTAAGACGGGAAAGCTACTGGTTCAGGGTAACCCCATGACGTTACCTTTAGGGTAGTAATAATAAGAGTCTACTTTGAATGTCAGAAGCTGTGCTCTTACTCTGAGCTTTCCCTGTGGAAGTCAAAAGACTCTCTCTCTCTCTCTCTCTCTCTCTCTCTCTCCAGATATGCGTCAAAAGTGACATGGACTTGAATGCTCAATGGTGTCATGACCTTGAGCTCTCATTCTTCGGGCTTTTCCCTGGCTCGGGCGGGGCCTCATAAGCCTCGGCCCGCTCGCCAATCTTTCTGTGCACGAACAACAGGAACAAAACAACTCAAGAGGACCAATGAAACTATCAACAGTCATCGGGTAGATGATCACCACGGAGAGAGACTGCCGCTGACAGTTCTGGTGGTGAGGCGGCGGTTTTCTCAAAACTTCCACATGTACGAGGGAGGATGAACAAGCCCCCTCCTCTCAGGCATAAGCGCCGACCGCTGCTGCCGCCATTGCTGAGACAACTAGAGATGAATGAATCGAACAGCTCACCTGTGGGTCATGAGCTGCACCTCTAACATTCACCGTTGCTGCCGCCGCCGCCGCAGCCCGCGTTGAAACAGCTAGAAATGAATGAATTGAATGCCGGCCCGGCCACGGGTCAAAGGCCGCCGCAAAATGCCGCCACTGCCACCACCCAGGTCGAAACAACCAGAGAAATGAATGAATCGAATGTGCCACCTATGGCTCATGGAGATGGCAGCGGCTCCGCCAGAGCCACGGGGATCGTCATCTCATGTTGCAGCACTGGGGCCGCCCGGCCTGGAGCTTGTCCCACATGCAGAGCATCTGGCGGGGCGACTGGTAGTGGGCGGTGTAGTAGTCGTCGATGCATCCAAACTGGCAGAACTTGACGTCATGGACATATGCCACCGGCCTCGTTGTGTTGAACAGCTCGACCCACATTCCCATGCTCACGTCCTCCATCTTAAATAGCTGCATATGATGGAAATCGTCGACCCACATTATGTGAAATGATGTTGTCTAAGTTTAATCATCAAGATTAAATAAACGAGGAATGGAATTTACCCTCAATGTGTGCCTCTCGAATCCAGAGAAAATAAAGCGTGCAATGTCAGAGGAGATAATGTAGCCAGGCCCATTTGCATAGGGGGGATAATCTTCCTCGGGCCATTCCTGGGTTTTGAGAAAAGAAGGCAAAGGTTAGCATTTGGCTGGAGAAATTAGTGGCATGAAAGCATAAATTGGAATTCACAGAGAGAAAATAAATACAGGAATTCCTAAGCAGCGTCACTTTTTATGTCACTTCAAGTGTTTCTCATTAATACATGATCTCTGCTGACCCACATGATGACTAGAAATTGGGACCTTGTAAAGCTGACGAACTATTCCTGAAGAAAAGAATGCATTCTATGCCGAAATCGATTTTCAGGTTACACCGAGCCTGGCAAAGATTAGGGTTCATGCGTAGTTGGATGCACAGAGCCAGATGGTAGCCACTGGAGCTACAGTCCGTGTAGTTATCATTCTTTGAAGTGAACCTCGCTTTCAGTGAGTCGTTTAATAAATCCGATGCGTAGAAAATGGGGATCCAATGTTCAGGAGGTATTGCATTTACAACTTCATTTTCTCACAGAAATGAAATAACCATCCATCAGCCTTTACTTTGTTTCACCTATTAATTCTAAAAGGACGACCAACCAACCGCATCTCTAGAAGATCAGTGGGTGATACTACAGATAGGAATAGAGAATAACACAAAGAACATTAAAATTTGATAGGAAAGTTGTGTTGGAAAGACACTCTTTTGGTAGATCCCAGACGGTATTTCCACTGGTGCCATAGAACTTAATACCTCAAGGCAACAATTCAAACATATTTATGTATTCTAGGAAACAATGTTAATTTATGACGTGACAGGATATGGGTGTTTAGTACCTCATATGTGACTGCCCACTTGCCCTCTCGCAATGGCTTGTGGTAATAATTTATGTTCCCCACATAGAAACTTTGTCCATTGGGAACTTCCTTTATTTCCCTAAGCACTGCATCAACTCTAACAAAGGTATCATCATCACACTTCATGATATACTTCGCAGATGCAGCATGTACCTGTTTCAAGCAAAAGACAAAAGTTACCACATGTCAAAGCAATATGTTATGTTATTACGAATTATAAAGTTCAACTATAATTATGTTTAAGGCTTGTATGCAGTGCTTACCCCGTACTCACAAATAGAAAGAGTCTTCAAAACGACAAGATCATAGCTGTCCATAAATGGTACGATAATGATATCACCAAAGAACTCTGCTTCTTTCATTAGCTCTAAATTAACTTCCTTCCTTGCATGCTGCAGTCAAGAAAAAAAACCCTAAGAAAGAATCCACCATACAGATTACTCAGTACCATGAAAAGTCAATAGAGTAGCAATGAATTTTACCATGGCGACGAAAAAACGTGCCACCACATTCTGTGATTTTCTTGTTGATTGCATCCATGACTTTCTCACAGCCATTCTTTCAGCAAAATGATTGCCAGCTGAAAGAATGCCAATAAAGAGTTCAACGGGATTATCAGGTAGTGGTGGTGCTTGCCATCTGCTGTTCATTTCCAAATGCCTTTGGGGGGCAAAGCTAGGGTGTGATGTGGGCAAGGATAAAGCAAAAATGGATTGCACATCAAGGTCCCCATTCAATGAGAACCCAGTGGCATCCTCAAGAACAAACCCCTGCAGATAAAGCATATTGTCAGAGCTAATTGGCAGAACAAATGATAAAACGAAAAAACCAATAAAATGAACAACGACGGAATCTTTGAGAATGCACTTACTGTGCGATACGGAAATGAGGTAATGTGCCTCCCATCAACATTGACGTGGTAACCTTCAAGACCAGCACTAAGCGTGAGGACGAAAAGCTTTTCTTCAGCAAATGGATATGGCCAATCAATTGAGACCTTCTTCGTTCGACCAATCAATCGATTTAACCACCATGCTGTCTTTGACTCCTCTGAGTGATCATCATCGTCTCGAATCCACTTCTCGCATTTCACAAGCCCGTCAACTGCGTGCAGAGAACATTTCAACCAAGTTAAGAATGAAATCGGTCAGAAAGTTGCCTAAAGTCAACTATCATCACCCACGGGAAGCATGACGCAATAAGCCCAAACCAGGGCAGTAACTCCCTCAACCCACCACCGACGCAAACCTTGAAATTACGGAATTTTGGTGAATAAATGCAGCAGCTGACTACGAAAATAGAGCCAGACTACTATTTTTCCATGACAACGATATATATATTTTTTCCAAAATATAATACAAGCCTAGGATGCAGAATAAAGCATAGTTATGAATGGCCACACAAAATACCTCTCTCTTCGTCTGCCCTGGACTTCCATCCTTCGCACCTTAGGGGAGTTCCCCATTGCATGCGGTAGCACGTGTTCTGTTCGATCACAGGCTTACCACTCCAGTCTCCCTTCAGCCGAGGATTGAAGTGGAGTATCCTTGGTGGCTCCTCGCCATCCACATTCTTGAGGCCCTGCAGCTCCATCATGAACTGAGAAACCATCACTGCCTGATCCCCCTCCCTGGGCACCGATATCTTCGGATCGAACTCGGCATGTGCCTGGTACGGCCTTGCAACGAGCGTAATGTGAGACCCTAACGTCAGCCCGCAGGGAATTACCAGCACCCTACCCCTCTCCCGAAACTCATTCCCCGACAGCGAGATCGAGTGAGGGCACGACTCTTCAGTCCCGTTTCTCTCCTCCACCGCCGCTGTCACAGCAGCTGCCAATTTCCCCGACTTAAGGTCCCTGAACACCTCCATGCCGATCCTCCATGCATGAGCGGCGGACTTATGGAGCTCGGAAAACGATCCGCCGTTTTTGTCCATACCCTCAAAAATCATGTGCAGCGAAGCCGTTGCGGATCCCCGGCCGGGGCTGCCCCCCTGATCGGCGGACGACGGCGGGATCAACGCAGGTACCCGGAAGGAGAACTTCTCCGGGCGAAGAGGAGCACCTCTCTGGAGGATCTCCTCCTCGCTATCCAGAGGATGAAGCTTCCGGTGCACGGACCCCCCAAGATTCCCGGCAGATTCGAAACCGCCACCGTCGCCGGCGCCGTCGGCGGAGAAAGAGTAGGTGGCGACCCGTGCAAGCATCCATGGGAGCTCGCAGCCCAGGAGGAGGACATACACTGCCGCCACCGCCGATGTCATCCAGAATAACCGGTGCCGCTTCAGCCAGATACCAGGCTCCATCCTCCCCTTCCCCCTCATCTCCTCCCAAACAAGCAGATCCCCCTCCCCCCACCACCCCGCCGGAAATGCCGCCGAAAATGCCGCCGGAGGAGGTGCAGGAGCAGAAGAGGGAAGCCGCCGAGGAGGAATCCCCAACCCTAACCCTGGATTTCTAGCAGGCAGAGCGAGGAGGAAGAAGAAGGTGGAAGGGGCTACCAGCCTGCGGCCGTAGAAAGCCGCTCATATTCAAACGTGGACGGCACCGAGTAGCGGGCCCACTCCACCCGAAATTGGTGACGGCCGACCGTTTCCTGTAAACTCAAGCCAGCGTACTTTATTCCCAGAAATCATAAATTGTATCTATACTCTTTCCGGTCAGCCAGATACTGGGCCCCACACGCTAGTTGGTTCAAAATTACTAGCCCCGGTCCGGCCCGACCCGAACCGAACAGCACATGGTCAAGGTCCGGGCTCCTTACGGTCCGACACTGGTCCACTGGACCCCAATCGGCCCGGCCGGCCCCGTGACAGTGGGGTTTAAAGAATCTTATTCGGATATTTCTGAGTAACAGAATAACCTGAATTAATTAATTAGTTATTATTTTATTAATGATGAGAGAGAGAAAAAGACAATATGAGGCGACAGTTGGAACGCGTCGGGAGTAGCTACTCTTTCTTGGCTAATGAGGAAAAAGAGTTGTCGATTGCGACGGTGGAGGTACCGAAACGAATCTTTGCGTGGCTGGCCCTGGTTTCGCTAGAGGAAAGCGGGCCCACCTTACTACACGTCTAGAATCTTCCGCACACCAGCTGCCTTCCAATGGGCAAGTGGGCCCGGACAGCTCCCGCGGCCTCTCGGTGCTTTCGACCCGGTGCAAAACGGCATCGCGTTCAATCGACTCGGCCGATCCCTATCCATTAGAAGACCCGGGGTTTTTAAAAATAAAAAATGATATAAATACACATGCATTTATACTCAGCCGTCTGACGGTATCCAATCGCTCTCTCTCTCGCCGCATATGGCCGCACACCGGCTCTGAAGTCAAAGTCATATCGCGGAAGCGAGATTGAACGAAATTTCAAATCTGACGAAAATAGCATTTTTACCTTAATTAGAAAGGTAAAATGGTAACTTCGAGGGGTCTCGTCCGGAGAGCCCAGTCAACTACGAACGTTGACCACATATCCCAACGACCTTCTCCGAGATCTATGGTATCCATGGTCGGGGTAACGCAGACTCATTAATGATGCAAACGCATGAGAGAGAGTCGCTAGCGACCGTGAGAGGAACAGTAGAGGAAGTGGCTTTAATGGTGATGACCCATGAGAGAGAGAGAGAGAGGAGGCCTGTCAAATGATACATCCCAGGACAGCGAGAGCGGTACATGATATGTATCTAGAGAGAGAGAGATAGAGAGATATGTACAAAGGAGAGGAGAGGGAGAGATTTAATTGTGTAATCCCGCGACAGGCAACAGCGGCAGAGGTATATAAAGAGACTCGGTTGCAGAGAGAGAGAGAGAGAGAGAGAGAGAGAGAGAGAGAGAGAGCGATAGAGACAACCGCTTTAATGGTATGATCCCACAAGAGAGAGAGAGAGAGAGAGAGGAGCCGCTTTAATGGTATAATCTCACAATAGAGAGAGAGAAAGAGAGAGACGTAAGTAGAGAGAGGGAGATAGAACCGCTTTAAACGAGGGAGAGGGAGAGCTTTCGTAGTTGGTCTCCGCCTTTAGCGAGCAGACGACTGCAGGTGGGGAGGGGGTGGAGAGGAGAGGAGAGGATTTCTTGGGGGAGGAAGGATGGCCGGAGGAAGGAAGGGGGGCTGGAGAGCGGCGGCCGTGGCGGTGGTGGTGGCGGCGCTGTGGCTGTCAGCGGCGGTGGAGACGGCGAACGGGGACTTTGCGACGGACCAGACGGAGTGCGCCGATGCGCTGGTGGGGCTGTCGACGTGCTTGACGTACGTGGAGGGGACGGCGAAGGCGCCGACGCCGGATTGCTGCGCCGGGCTGAAGCAGGTGATGGCGAAGAGCCCAAAGTGCCTGTGCATCCTTATCAAGGACCGCAACAACCCACAGCTCGGTTTGAAGATCGACGCCAACAGATCGATGTCTCTCCCCTCCGTCTGCAACGTCCGCTCCAACATCTCCCACTGCCCCGGTAACACCTCTCTCTCTCTCTCTCTCTCTCTCTCTCTCTCTCTCTCTCTCTCTCTCGCTACTTTCTTCTCGGTCTTCTTTACGATACAGAGAAAGACACTAAGGACCCTTTCTTGCGTGATCTCTCCTTCTTCTTCCTGAACGGGAGAGAGAGAGAGAGAGAGAGAGGGATGCACTGTGAGCTTCTTTCTATCGTTTGTGTGAGTGAGAGAGGAGAGAGAGAGAGAGAGATGCACCATGATGCGTGAGTTTTTTTCTATCGTATGTGTGAGTGAGAGAGATAGAGAGAGAGAGAGAGAGAGAGAGAGAGAGGTTTTTGACGTGCATCTCAATTGCAGCTCTGCTAAATCTTGACCCGAACTCGAAGGAAGCGGCGATCTTCACTCAGTTTGGGGGGGGCTCCACCAAGAGCACCAACGCCACAACCAGCATCGGTAACACCTCCTCTCCACCCTCTCCCCACTCCGTCTCTCCCGTTTCTCACCTCCCACCCCCCCTCCCCCCACCCTTTTACTTCTTCCGCAGAGTCGGGGGTCCCCAGCAGCAGCACATTACCGAGCGGGGGTCACAGCGCCGGCGACCAGCCGACGGTGGGCAGTGCCTCCACGGTCGGTGCCCATCTCCTGGCGACGACGCTGGTCTGGATCTCCTCCCTCGCCGCCCTGCTGCTCACCTAGCGCCGCATTTCCTGGTCGCCGTCGTCGGCGCCGCCTGCTTCCCTAGTCAAACAGTATTTTGTGGTAACTTCAAACTCCTCCGCCCACATGTTCCCTCTAGCCTGTCTCTCACCCATCCATCTCTCTCTCTCTCCACGTGTTGAGCAGTGTGTGTTGTTTTCTTTCCTGTACTCTCTCGTTGTCCATAGTCCTATCGTCTCTCTCTCACTCTCTCTCTCTCTCTCTCTCTCTATCTATCTTTCTGGCTACTCCGTCGGAGCAAGAAGAGTATTCACTGCTCTCTCACCATCTCCATTTTCCTGCTACTCACCTGTGCAAGAGAATTCGCTGCTCTCTTTGTGAGACGGTATTTAGTGGGGTTGCCTGGGATCCGCTGTGGGGAGTGAATGCGGGGGGCCGAGGGCATTGAAGGCCGAGGAGGTCGATCCGGAGGAGGCGCCGGGGCGCATTAAAAGGAGGGGCGTCTGAGGATGTTGTGGCCTGCAGCGGCGACGGAGGAGACGCATTGCCTACGGACAACCCCCCCTTCATCCGTTAATGCTCCTCATCTTCCTTCCCTGTCCGTCTTGACCGTCAGAAAGAGAGAGAGAGAGAGAGAGGCACAGAGTCTGGAGTCCCAAGTTGGCCTTGTTTGATGACAGAGAGACAGAGAGGGTCTCTAGATTCTCCACTTGGACCTTGGTAGAGAGAGAGATAGAGAGAGAGAGAGAGAGAGAGAGAGAGTTTTCAATGTAGACTTCGAGCTTGGTTGACGAGATGGAGTCAGAGAGTCCCTGGACTTGGAATTTGGCGGAGAAAGGGACAGAGGGACAGAAATAAAGAGAGTGACAGATAGACTCTATTCCTTGGTGGAGAGAGAGAGAGAGAGAGAGAGAGAGAGAGAGAGTTGAATATCGACGTCTGTTCTTGATAAGATATAGGTAGAGAGGGTCTCAAGACTAAACTTTGACCTCGACATACGTGATAGAGAGAGAGAGAATCTAGATAAAGGCCTCACAGCCCATACGTGATAGAGAGAGAGAGAAGCTTTAAGTTGATACATTTCTTGAGCTTTTGGATCCTTCTGAATAGTTTTTTAAAAAGACAACTACAAGGGTTCTTAGTTAGGTTTTTAAATAAGTTTTTAATTATTAAAGGTTTTAAATCATATGTGCTCCTAGCAATAGAAGAATTTATCATTGAATGTAGGCATTGCGAACAGAGGCAAGGACATCATCGGTTAAACGTATGCACTAAAAAAAATGGAGTAACTTAGTAGTAGGTCAGTATAAATCTCAATGTTCTTATTCTCTATGCAAACAGAGTAGACCACTTAAAAAAGAATTATCAAATGAGTCGGCCCAACTTATTCTCCATGCATAAACTTTAATTGAGTAACGCCATCTTGTGACTCTTACCAAAAAATACCAATTGAATCCCATCTTGGTCTCCATGATGACCTGTTTAACAACCAATATAGAGATTTCAATGTGCTTTAATTGGGACTTACAAAAGTGTTAGGCCTATATGTTGAAGCAAAATTAGGGCATGCCTTGTGTTGAGTAGTTTTGAAAGAGTTCAATATTTTTTCACATCTTTCTAAAACCTTTCAATTAAAAAAATTATTCTTAATTGAATCCTAGGGTTATGGCACTTTATACTATTCATATTATCCTTTTTTCAAAATAATGTAGGTACCTTTGAATTGCATTTCAAATTTACAAACTTAGTATTAGATGAAAGTAATACATCTAATGTAGAAGTTGATCCTAACAAATCTAGATAGTTGATAAGGGGTTAGTTAGGTTTCACATGATGGAATCAGCCAAATATATTTGCAACCCTTACATTTGATGATGTTTAAGTTTATGAAGAACTATGATTATGACACTTTATACTACTCCCATTTTTGTTGCAAGTGTAAATGTGCCTAGTGGATCTTGCATGGTCTCATGTAAGTAGCAAAGTTCCATGTCTAGAACCTCTCTCGTACATGTTAAGGATGTCACACATGTCCCAAAGATCAAGTTCCCCATACAAGAAAACAAGTCTACTTGTTATTGTTTTTTTCTTATCATTGTTGATGTGATTACCCTAGTGGTAAACCATGTACCTCACTTATCTCCTTCTCATCATATATATGGCCACTCTACCAAAGTCAAAACTGAGCTAATATGATACAATATGGAGCCTATTTTATGGGATTTTCTCTATGCATGGTCTAGATGTTGTAGAGGATGTACGATCTTAGGTTGAGCTTGTCCTTTTTATCATTATTGTCAAAGATATAATATATATAAATATATTAATAAGGATTGTTACATACCATACAATTCTAAGCACATTGGTAATAAGTGCAGTATACATATGCTTAATTTTGATTCTTAAATTTATTTCATTGGTACTCTAAAAATAGCTCCAAACAAGTAATCCAATTCTTTCAACTTATGATCTGTTGATATTCAAAATGAGGTTATACCCATGGATATGATCTAAACACTTCATCCACAACATGAAATAATCAACTAATGTAACTAAAAGCTAATAAAATGTTGAAAACTCTATGCAATGTCTACAAGTTCATAAAATTATTTTAAATATAACTTAGGAAAGTAGTACCTCACATTTATCAATGTTATCCTGTGATGTTGGCAATGATGAAAGACCACAAAGAAGTTGATAGAATTCCAATAACAGAGGAAGAATGAGAGCTAGAACAAAGTTAACAAGAACTAGGAAAAAGAAAATCAATTGTTGGATTCCGGATGGAAACCTTTAAAATCAATGATAACTCTTCAAGAGGGTTATCTCTCTCCAAAACACCATGAAATTCCCATGTTCCCTTCCCCCCCTTCACTCCCCTTTTCTTATAGCCTCCTATGTGAAGTTTATTAATAACTCCCTTACAACCTAGAAGATACAAATATACTTATCACACAATTAAAAAAATGAGATATTTTTTAATAAGTATTTTGTGAATATTAGAGATTTGATAAATAAACAAAATTGGTACAAGATGAGGGCTTATTAATTTAAAAAGAGTTATGGTCTGAAAGATTAGCAAATATATAGAGATTCAACACTCATCATCAACCTTTTTGCACCTCACATTTAATGATGAGAAGAAAAGCTTTACTCTCTTCATCAAATCAATATATGTAATTAAAAAATTAATTTGTTACAATCATTATTCTTCGTCAGGCCATAAGGTAATTAAGTGATGAGTGAAGAATGTATTTTTTATTGACACATGATGGTGATAGTCATATTATGGCTCAAGAAGAGTTGAGTCTCTATAGAAATTGTTGAGATATATAGTTTGGGTTTATGAGCGTAGCCCACTTTCTCTCTCCTCACCCCTATATGTATGGGGCTTCTGTCCTCTTCTTTATTTTTATCAAGTTATTTTCTATCTTCTTGGTATAAGAGCTATAGTGCTCCACAAGGATTTTCTATTGGCACCACTATCTCCTTAGCGGCCACTCCATTGCCATCTCCATAGTCACTCTCTAAGCCATGGTGCTCCACTAGGGTTTTCAATCAGCACTATTGTCTCCTCGGCTGCCACTCCATCGCCACAGCTATGTGCAACCACCATAGTGCGTTGTCACACGCAGCAACTTGTAGTGTGCAGCCGCACAACACATGCACTGCATGCGCCCTTGCCTCTGCCCACAATGGCCTGTGCATGCCAACATGCTAGTGTGTGCACCCACTAGAGCTGGCTGGCACACCCAACAATGCCCACCAACGTCCTTTGGCTGGTTGGTGCTCTTTCAGTCTCCTCCTTGCCCTAGGAGCACCCCAAGGGCCCACTTGTCCTCTTATGTGCCCTAGGGTGCACCTTGGGGACTATATGCTCCTCTTTGTGCCCTAGTGCATCCTAAGTGTACATCTCTAGTGGCGGCATGTTAGTGTGTCTGATGGACATTAAAGTATATCTATATCCCATGATAAGTTTCATGATATTCTTTTTCAGATTTAACATAATTCATGTATTTCATATATATATACCTTGAGATACTTTCAGCTAAAAAAATTAAAAATTAATATTTTTTTCTCAAAATTAATATTTCTATTTTGAAAAGAACCTCTCCTCATTTTTATCTCATTTTGTAAGTCTCTTCTTCCATAGCAAATATTTTATATTGATGCACCATAAAATGTGATTCAGTCATAGAATTTTTAAATTAGCTCTTACACTATTTAATAATTTTTCATCTAAAATAATATATTTAATTCTTTCACTCACTCATTTCTTAATACATTCTTTTGTCTGCATAATCTTTCCTTACTCTATTTTATCTTTCTTACATGTTTGTTCAATTTGTGAAGAATGAAATATTTCAAACTTAGATATAATTCTGATGGGCTGTGGGTTTTAAAGGATTAAACAATTATCTACTTTAATCTTAGATCTAATGAATTTATTAAAATTTAAATTTTCTCATCTAAAATTATCTCTAGATTCATATTCATTATTTT